CCTATTTTCCAGTCTTGTTCCTATGCAAGAGGATAGACTGAAAGGGCTTCCCTAAGTCTTGTGAATCCTTGATATCCCATCCTGGGGAAAAAGAAAAAAGGGAGGGGGTGAAGGTTCAGTAATTAGGAAAGCGGTCAGAGTCAGGGTATACATTCTTGAATGTGGATGGTATTTTAGGCTTGGTGTGAAGAATTTTTTTCCTCATAGTAATGGGACAGAAAACCTCTATTTAGTTTCACTAGCTTCAAAGCACAGTTGTTGGATTTTGCCTGAAGTCTCTCCAGGTATAATGAAGAATTTGAAGTTGAGGATAAAGTATGTTATTCAGGTACTCACAAACCTGATACCACAAAGTCAGTCAGATTCAAAATTAAATGATTGTGTCTAAAGGTTCAGAATTATTTTGCATCAGGAAATGTTCCAACATGAGATATATCAAGTTAACAGCTCAAAATGATTCTATTTATTGAGACCTCCTGGGATCAGTGTTTAAAAAAAGTGTATTCAGTTTGCCACAAGTGTACTATAAAATACTTCTTCATAAAGTATGTTTTGGTTCAGGCGTTTGTAACAGAATTCTAAGTGCACTGTTGTTCCCTCATGAACTCAAACGAGGCTGCAGTGAGGCACTTGAGTAACAACTCACAATGCTCTGACAGAATTAGTCTAGTAATGTCTTTCAAAAAGAAGTTGCTTCATTCCTCTAAAATAAAGCCAAATGTGAGTCCATTTTATATTTTCTTCAGTAGGTGAGTAACTACAGCAGTGTCTAAAGCAATGGAGACCACCTGCTCAATGCTTCATTCATTCTGAGGACCTTTATCACTACTTGTTTACTTCCCAGGGGGGTGACCTGCTCACCTGGCTGCATCAGGGAAGCTGGCCTCTGTAAAAAGAGCTTTGTTGGGCTAGGAAGAAGCATGGAGTGTGTCTAGCCTGGCTGTGGGGAGAAGGAAATTGTGGGCTGTAAGGACTCTGAAGTCCATAGTTCAAAATGCACAGGGTGAAGAGAGAGTTTTTTAGAGTGGAAATGGTAACCTAGCTCTCTGATTATTCTCCCCTTACTTGCTGTATATTTGAAAGGTCTTTGGCCTTCACATTTTGTGCAGAATGCAGTGCTGTCAGTATGTATCCCGTGTGCTGTTTAATGGGTTGGACCTCTTGCAGTAGGTGAAGGAATTCCTAAAATATGGTTGTGGTTTCTCAAGGAGCTGATTTGATAGCAATTTGTCATTGCTGAGAAAAGAGTCGAAACAAACTTCTGTTCAGTTGAAGTGTAATTAATGTCTGAACGTTTCTGTGTGGTGATACTTTAGAAGTAAAAGATACAAGTGCAGACTACTTTTTTGTGATTGAAGCTACCAGATTTCATTTTACAGTTGTAATTGCTGGAAATGCACACCCAATCAGTTACATAAACTTGGAATGTACACCCCAAAGTTTGACCAGTAGTAATGTGATAGGCAGTAGTCACTTGTGTGCATTTCATATGGTAGTCTTAAGTTGCTGAAGCTATGTGAAGTTTGAGAATTGCTGCTTTAGGCTTAATCATCCAAGTAATTTTGTGAATGTAAGCATGATGGCTGCCATTGCCACTTGCTACTGATCTCTTTGTCTTTCCTCTGTATTGCAGTGATCTGTGAGAATTATTTATAGGGTGTGGACATGTAGGAACTTCTCTACTGGTGATCATTTTAAGTCTCAATAGGCCATTAACTTTACTTGGCAGTCAAAATTCACACATCTGTTATTTAAACTCTTGACCTAAAACTTGTGATTTTACTTACTGATTCATGCTGTCAATATTTTTGCCTGTTGCAAATACTGGAATTTGGAAGCGTTTGGTAGATTCTACATGAAGTTTGAGCTTAGCTTTAGGTTTCATTTTCAGTCTCTGAAAGTAGTTTTATAAAAGAACTGAAGCAGGAGTTAAAATCTTCGGAGAATCTTCTGTCCTTTGAAAAATAAAATATGTTTGTGTTGATTTGCTGTCATAAGGTTACTAAAATGCTGCTATAGAATTTTAATGAACTCTGTGATTCAAAGCTGAAAAATAGCAAGCCCACAGCTAAATGCAGTGTTAAAACCACTACAGTTTTGCGTTTGAATATTGTTTTGACAGATCTAGTAGCACTGTAAATTTTTTGTTCCTCTATTTTCAACAAATACAGAACGTATATAGTCAAAGTTAATGTCTCAATCTTGCAGATTGTACTAGTACTAATGCTTTCTTTGTTAGTATATACAGAATTACAGCTTGAATTACTTTAGTGCTATAGTATGCTTTATGCTCTGCAACTTGCAGATTGCTCATGTAAAAAAGATGAAATGTTTTTTTAGAAAGGTATATGGGGTAAATGCTTATGTAGAATGGTGCTCTAGAATGTCCACCCACGTCAGACCTGTGTGTTGATTGCATGTTTGTATTATAAAGTGTCTTTTGGAAGTCTGGCCTAATACATAGTCAGAAGTCTTCTACATGCAGGTTTGAAAACATTTATCTCCTTTCTAGAACTGGAAGAGTGTAAAAGATGGTGTGACTTGGGATGAAAGTGTCAGTGTTTCAATATTTTTAAAAGGTTTAACATTTGAAATTACAATTTCAAATATTTATTGACCAAAATATTAGCTTGAGATGACTTCTGTGGTAAAATAATCATAGGATGGTTTTCTGAATTTGTAGCCTTAAGTAGCAGTCTGCATTTGCCTTTTTAGAAGGTTGTGCAATTGAGGGTCTCCAACTTATTTTATTAAGCTACTGGTGGTGTGCGTACTATGTCACAGTATGGCAAAGTAGCAACATCTAGCTTTGAGGACTTCTTACAAGTACAGAATAGTTGTGCTTGCTACCTTAGCTGCTCTTGCCTCTTCTGAGGAAAAGGCAGTAGGATGTTTTCTTACGTACCTGTGAATGCCATGTGTATGTTAGTTTGAAGCCCTTGAACTATGTAGTTAATACGCTCATCTATTTTGTGTAATAAATAATTGGTTTGGTGAATTCCAGAGTAATTTTCATCAGGGTAAAATTTAGGCAACTTTATGTATAGTATGACTTTTGTTCTCTTAATTGTACTGTAAAGCATAAATTTCCATGGTGAGAGGAGCTTTTCTGTGAAATGTAGAATTGAACTAGTGGTTATTATAAAGTATATTCATAGAGTGGTAGAGTGAATGCTTTAATTGAAAAGTAGAGAATGCTGCATTTGAAAGATTGACACATCTGTGTGATGTTGTGGTTTGGCTTGTCAGAGCAGCTGAAGGCTCTTAGTTACTTCTAAAATTCCTGAACTTCATATAAACAGTATGATTTGTAAATTTGATTTTTGATGTGTTATGTGGAATATTGAAATCTATTTTTGCCATTCAGAATTTGTTTAGAGTGAAATAACCCTTGGAAATCTTCCAGCAGTCCTTTACTGAGAAATCCAGAGCTGAGAAGCCAGCATAAGAGCATTCTTATGAAAGAAGCAACCTGTAGATATTTCTGTCCAGTTCAGGTGATGCCTGGGGCCTGTCCTCCCTTTCCACCCTCCCCTGCATCCACCAAATAAAATAGCACACTAGAAAATTACACGTGCTCCTGTATATACCGGACTTAACTTGCCTGTCTCTGGAGAGAAGGAATTCAGGCTAAAGTAAGAGCTCTTTGGAGACATCGACTAGGAGGAAGATTGGAAGACTTAAATCTTTGGCACAGGGCAATATACTTGGTGACTATCATAATATTATAAATCAGCAGTTTCAAAATTATGCATCTGGAACTCTATTAGCCTTTAAGTCACTTTAGCAAAATGTATGTAACTTTCAACTGAGAGCAGGTAAAACTAGTAAGCAGCAAAACATATAAATTGTGGTGGTGTTTGTTTTCTGTTTGTGTTGGTGTTTTTTTGTTTGTTTGTTTTTTAATTTTTAAAACATCTGTCAAATCTGAAATTACAAACTGGTGTGTAAAGAAAACAATTGCTGGATACAATTACTAATCTTGGATTATTAAAACTGCAAAACTGGAACTTCAGCTCTCTGTATGCAGAGAAAGAAATCTTGCCTTATGTGTCATCCTGCTGAGAAGTTAAATGCAGTGGTATATATAATTTGGGCTATTTTTGTAGGTCATTTGGTGGAGCAAATAGGGCACATCAGTAAAGATTATGTCAGTATTTTATGTTTTGATAATCTTTACTGAGGGCGCGGTTGAAGAAATTTGGAAAAGAGCAATGATGTTATTAGCATCTTTATTCTCACTTCCTGTTTTTCCTTTCTGGAAAAATACAAAGTGCAGTGCTTCAGAATCAGAAATTAGTTAATTTGATGTTTGTCCATAGTCAGAAAACAGTTTTGTACAGGTAATGTTTTTTGGTGGTACAACAGAGATACTAAGGCAGGCTTTCTTTAAGAGTGTTAGAAATGAGAAAATTCAGTAACTTCATCTCTTTATTACCTTCAGCTGCATACTTCAAAATGGATTCATATTAATAAAAACTTTCCTACAGGAAATAATTCAGGCATGAAGGAACAGTTTCATACGAAACTGGATAGCTTCATAATTTATAAATGAAATAATAAACTGAATTACAGGGTTATGTGCTAATCTTGTGCTTGAGCCATTTGAGGTAAAATATTTACCCATGTCTGGAGGGCTTTTTTAATACAATGAAGGAATTTGTTAGTATGAATTTATGAATTTATCTCTTGAATTGTTTGCTTTTTGTTATCCACTTGTGTTTTTACTTTAGGAAAAGTAGTCTGTTGTGTATTATAACTTAACTGATGTTTTATGTAACACTGCTCCTATGATAATTTAAATGTTAACATAGTGTGTACTGACCTTCATGTTAATAGAGAACTTGTTACAATATTCGGAGGCTATTCCTTTTATTCTTTGAATGGTCGTTTGGAACTCAGTAATAATATTTTATACTATAAAACTGACTTCATGCAAAAAAGTCAATTTACTATTTTAAAGGATTATGACTTGTTAATTTTGTTTTTATATACTATAGGATATGTTTTGGAGTTGCAGACAAAGTATCTTTGCTGAAATGAAGAAGAAATTTTCACAGGTAGACAGATGAAATCAACTTTATAAAATGATAACCAAGATACATAGTAACAGCATGATGCTGTAGCTTTTGTTTATTTCTTAACGTGAGCATGAGCTATTGAATTTTTTTGTGCATGTTCTTGAATACAAAGATTATGTATTTATTAAACGCAGTCTTAACAGTAGAAGCTTCAAACTGAGTATGTGTTTGTATGCTTTTACACTGGTGTGTGTGGTTTTGGCCCTCTAGCTTTTTGTTTAAAAAAAAAAAAAAAGGAATTGTGTAGCTGTCATAATATATCAGATTATGTAATGATTAAAATTAAGTTTCGCATTTACTTTGTGGACTAAGTTTGATAACAGCCTGTCAAAATAGTTTAGAGGCCTGTTGCTGGCCAGTATTCCCTTTTACACTATTTTTATAGTAAAGTAGCCACAAACAAGATGTTTGCATTGTTGTCTAATAGTTCAGATGGTATACGTGAATGCTTGCCATGAATAGGGTTGGACTGAGGTTATTTTTGCTTTATGTATTTACCGTGAACAACTTGAAGCAGTGGCAGCATGAATGATGGCTTAATATCCTTTGCTATACTAACCCTGAGTTAAACCAGTTTAGTCTGTTAGAATTACATCTGTGAACAAGGAAGAGAGGATTTGTCTAACATGGAACATCCAGCAACCCAACCAGCAGATCTTCTGTAATCTATAATTTGTTCGCTTAATGTTATTTCCATCCATCAGATACTGTGTGTCTAATTATTTTTCACTAACAACTCCAATATAAGTCACAACTGATCCACAATCAAAGGTAGTAGGGAAGGTGTGAGTAGGAGGAGTTGATTTTACAGGTGTCTTCTGCAGAGAGGAGGGGAGCTAAGGTGTTGGTTTTGTAAAGGCAGTAGGACAACAAGGAATTGAGTCTTCAGTGGAGAACTTCTATTCCTGACATGCTTACATACAGTAGCAGGTCAAGTTGTAGGATCAGTACAGAATTACTGTGGGAATCATTAACTCTGAGTTAACTTACATTTTCCTGGGTGAAGCTGTATGAATAGTAGCAAATGCCTCTTAACCTCTCTGCACCGTTCTACAGAGGAAGGTTGGCTTCCACCCAGAGCAAGCCTCTACCATTGCTGGGGAATCTGGGTCCTAAGTGTAGGTTGATCTTATGAGTTTGTTGGGGTTTAGCTGCTGCTCATCTTCTCCAAGAAAAATCAAGAAAGTAGACCACTGAACGAGCTTCATCTAATGTTTTGTAACGACACAGTGAAAGAGACAAATTGTGGGCTTGTTTAGCCAAAGAAAAAAAAAAAAGAAAAGAAAAAGAAAAAAAAATTGAAGAATGAAGACGTGCTGGGAAATTTAAATGAAAGAACACAGGAGAAGTAATCAACTGGTGAAATTCAATTTTCGTCTATTCAAGTACAGCTCTGTGTGTCTGTGGGTGCTGTGGATGAAAGTGAGGATATAATGTCAAAATTAATTTGACCTCTAAATTGTGTTTTCCTCTTAATGTGTGGTTAATATTTCAGGAATAGTTTTGTCTGTTTTCATGGAAAGTAGTTCATAAACCTAAAATTCTCCAGTAAAGATTAAATGTATGAAGGTGAAGTGTTGCAGATTTGCTGGAAATGGTGCCTTGAATCTTTTTGAGCATAAAATTAATGAAGATTTCCACACAGGACTTTATATTTGATAAACTTAGAGAAATTGGACTTTAAAGTCTTAAAAAAAAATCACAGTCTAAAGCAAACTAACATAATACAGATTGGGGTGCGGGGGGAGGTTTATTTGCCCTTCTGACAACTTTTTTTCTGATGATAGGAGTAGATGCTGCAGTCAGCTAACATTTTATTTTATAGTTGCGTGAAGACTGTCAGCTGATCTTGAAGTTTTGCAAAATGAAGGGATGCAGCATCAGCTAAAATGTTTCTGTTCCTTTTTAAAAGATTTGGTCACGTAAGAGCTCTCATAAGGGCCTATGCCACTTTGGTGGTCATCTGTGTTCTGAGGCTGGTTGTGTAGCAATACAAGGGATGCTGAAGTTGTTTAGATCTTCTTAGTAGTTCTCTAGAAGATGCTTATGACATGGCTGACAGTTTTAGTGTTAACACAGTTCTTGCTATTTATTAATGGTTTTTATCCACTGAAAATTGTGATAGCACTGCATGTATCTTTTTGCCTCTTTAAATGATGTACCCTTTAGCCATGGACTGAGATGTGGGTGCTCTGACATGCGTTACTAATGCTTTCTGTGTGTTACAAGTTGAAAAGGCTGAGTCCTTGGGCACTAATTATTCCTTTTACTGACCTGATGCTTTCTTGTGTGACCTGTATATAAATACCAGTTATTCCTTATTGTTCTACAACTTTGGATAACTGAGAGAATTCATTGTGCTTAGATCTTTTGACTTCCTGGGTTTTCAGTGTTGGAAAGTGTTGGGAAAACGCCATTTTCCTGGCTTACCTGGGTCCGTAAAATTTTATTGCTATTCCATTGCCACTTTCATTCAAGATAGTTTTCTGATTTCAGATTTATTGAAGTTGCTGTTTAAAATCTCTTTGTCTAGTAGCCATTTGGCAATGTTAATTTTCTTACTCTGTTCAGGCAGAAGAATTTCTCATGCAGCAGTGGATTTAGTGGAAGAAGGTTGGTAGGTTCTTTGTGAAACTTTGTTTAATGGTCAGCTTCCAAGATTATTCGGAAGCTTGCAGATCTTCTGGGTTGCATTCCTAAAAATCACAAAAGGTATACTTCTACCTCAGCAGGATTTATGATCGTGTCAAAACAAAATATGAGTTTGAAGTGATGATTTTAAAGTCTGTTCCTGTTTTGAAGCAGTCTTCTATCTGCTTGCTGGCTGAAATTCTGTGCAGAACTTGAGCAGTTTATCTCTCCACACTGTGATCCACCCATACAAATTCCTTTGTGTTCTACAAAATGTGTTTTCCAAAACTGGAAGGTTCTTAATTTTCTTATGCCTGCTTTCAAAAATAAAGTCCAGGTTTAGGATCCTTAGGTTGTAAAAGTGTACTACATTTTATTGGTGAAGCCTTGTTTTGATTTTTCAGTTAAACTCCAAAACATTCTTAACTTTACTCATGAGTTGTTGCCTGCTGTCATTTCAGGTGGAAAGTGCTGCTGAGGAACCCAGGGTGCTGTGTATAATACAAGATACCACAAATTCCAAGACAGTTAATGAGCGTGTTACCTTGAACCTGCCAGCTTCCACACCACTTAAAAGGCTGTTTGAAGATGTGGCTTCAAAAGTGGGCTACGTGAATGGAACTTTTGATTTAATGTGGGGAAATGGAGATAATGTAACTGATACGGTATGGCAAAAGTGCTTTTCATTTCCTCTTGATAGCAAACATTTAAATCTTCACATTATAGAAAAGTGCTGTCTGTATTGTGTAGTACTCATTTAATTCCTGTAAAAAATTGTAGTAGGTGCACCAAAGCAGACTGACACCAGTATTTTGATTTGGCTGCATTTTATTTTGTATTATATCTACATTTTAGTCTGAGAATGTGCTCTTGGTACATGTATTTAATAATTAAACAAAAGAAACGATTATGATCATTCAGATGTAATGCTAGTTTTCATTATCAGTATGTATTTTTAATAATAATACCTATGATAATTCATCTCCTCTGTTTCCTGTGGTCTTGTTTGAGAAATGTTTTCTTCTCAACTGAAGCATGTTGTGTAGTGACTTTCCATGTTTCTTATACCTATTTGAGTTTATTACATACAAAAAAATTATGATTAATATTGCTTCTGTGCTTTATTGTAGATCAGTGTTGGTTTTAGTTAATATGATTTCTATAGATGCATCTAGAAAACTTCATAAGATTCCTTAAAAAATAGATGTTATTTTATTTCAGGTCATGTTTATGCTTGCTGAATTTTTTTTTCTTAAAAAAAAAAAAAGTATATGCAAGCTGTATAGGACAGTAGGTGGTTGGATGTTCTGCAAGAAACTTGTAGACCAGTGTCTCAACTCCTGAATAGGTTAACCAACTTCTAAGGATTAAACTGTACTGTAATACTTAATTTACACTGTTTCTTAAACTGTTCCCAAGTTCTTTCAGTATTAATGATGAGTATGTTTTGTTTATACTGGATAATTATTTATTTTCATTTCATCTTAGTGTATCAGATGCTACTTCAAGCAATGTACTTGGATGGACTCTTAATTGTGTATAGATCTGTTTTTTTAAAAAAAAAGTGGTGGTTTTGTTTTTTGTTTTTTGTTTTTTGGTTTGTTTTTTTTTAGCAGACTCCAATAGATCAGAACAGTGACAAAACTATTCTCGATGCTGGTTTTGAGCCAGGGAAGAAGAACTTCCTGCATTTGACAGACAGAGATGGTGAGCAGCCTCATACAATGCCGGTAAGTGAAATCTTCACTCAGCTACATAAGCTATAGCGTTGGGGGAGAGAGATGTATGTTCTGTGTATTGCTCTTGTGAGATCAGAAAATGAAATAAAATTGGGCTGTATATTTCATACAATAAGCTATTTCAGGAACCTTCTCAACAGACTTTTGGATTACTGTTTCACACTTCTAAGTTTCTCCTGAGTAGGACCAATTCTATTAGTAATGATTTGCTGTCACTTTTTATTCATGCTTGTCAAATATTTATGTAATGTTTTGCTGTGAGTAGTTTTCTAAGGTTATATAATTAATTAATCTTTGACATGTTTAGAGAGAAGTCTTAACAATATAGGTTTAATCATATACCTAATTCTTTTTCTCTGGGTGTTTGAAAGCAGTATTAGGCCACTCTGACAGGATTGTCAGAAATGGCAGTCTTGTATCAACAGCAGTTACCTGCTTCCAAATTTAGCTTTAAGAAAAGAAAATACATATATATATAAGAAGAGTTGTCAGTGTTGCTAGAAGTAACTGTCTGCCGTAACAAAATATTTGAAATTTCCTATTTCTCAAATATGTGATGCAGTGAAAGATAAACACAGCTGCGGTTTATTTAAATCAGGGATTGGATAGACTAGTGGTACATTAAGATTTATTACTCTGCTCTCATGTCAGCATAATACTGACCTACTTAGCCTTTGTTGTGGACTTAACTACCTGAAAAGTGGAAGAAAAACCCTATGTCTAAATAATTGTGCACAAGATCAGAATTTGAGGGTGATTCTGAAATAATATTTAACTGTAATTTTTATATCTGAAAAAAATCTCATTCTGTATTTCAGTGCAGAAAACTTGAGACATAGGAGATGCTAAATTGCAAACTTGTTTGTTGTATGCGTTATAGTACTTTATTGGATTATACAGTATTCTAAAGGGCATTTGCTTCCACTAATGCAAGGAACGATTTCTCAAGGGGTCGAGGATTTGGAGGGCAGAATTAAAGTTGCACAAGCAACTGTATATCTGCAATTCTGTAAAATTTGTGTGATATGCTTCGCACAATTGATTTTTTCTTTTCTTTTCTTTTTTTTTTTTATATTTAGCCACAAGAGAAAAGTAAACTTGTAGGTACTTCAGTAAAAATTTGTTGTCTAAATTGTGCATAAAATCAGTGTATTCATGTTTTCAGGAGGATTCAGGTACAACAGATGACAGTGCGCAAGACAGATTTATAGGCCCTCTTCCAAGAGAAGGCTCTGTTGGCTGTACCAATGACTACGTCAGTCAGAGCTATTCTTATTCATCAGTCCTGAGCAAATCGGAGACAGGTATATTGTTCTCTCTTGTAAAGGCAATGCTAATTTGTAATTATTTGAGCATATTTTCAAATAGCAGTACTTCAAGATTTTCTAAATAAATTGCAATTTATTTTAAAGAAGCCCTCCACATTGCTACTGCATTTTCCATCATGTTTTCTACAATATTCTCATATCACTTTTGGGAACCAAAGAGCTGTACCCCATCCTTTTCTTACTTGGGACAGTGCAATTCAAACTCTGTCAGGGGCCCTCCTTTTCAGTATTAATCTGCTGCTGTGTCCCTAGTTGAGTAGTCAGGATTGTATTACCAAAAAGGATTCACATCAAGCTGTGTGTTTACTCACAGCTTAACGAGCACTTGATACCCTCTTATAAAGAGGCTGTTGCCAAATCTCTGCAGTTTGTGCATTAACTGCAGTCTTCCTACTGTAGCCCCTGGTTGCAGTTTCTTTGCCTGCACCATGATTCCCCAAGAGGTTCATCCTCCACTGCCTGGTTGCCCACCAGCAAGCGGAAACTCCCTCTGGAAGGGAAGTGCAGCTCAGCCTTGCAGGCAAGTGCCAGGGCAGATCCTAGGAGGCTGGCTGGGTGCCTTTGCTGCGCAGGGGGGCAGGAGGAGACGGCAAGTTACAGCTCAGTGATGAGACAAGCTCCTGATACTAAATTTGTTGAGCAGAGACAAAGATGACATTTATATTACACCAATTCAAGCATGCTCAAGACTTTTTTGAGAGATAAAAAAGTTTATCTGCCACATACCTTCCTTCATTTAATATAACTGTGAAAAGATGATCTGTATAGAGTAGAGTAATAAATAAAATACATGTGTTCTAACTCAGTCTCTTCACAGAAGGTGCTTGTGTTTTGCATGGAGTAGCTGCCTTTTCATTACTAGTATGGAACTGAGATTTATTTTTTTTAATACTTACAAAGAGCTTCAGAGTATAAATAGGCATATTTAATTTCTTTATTACACTATGCTTCAATATATGCTGCTTACTTATCAGCTGTTGTTAATATTGTGTATTTTGGAGAAAATCTTAAAATTACATTAAAATGAATATAAGTAAATAATTCCCTTTCCAGCTAGTAAAAATTGCACTGATTTTTAGTACTTGTTTTAATTGGTTATTATGGGAGAAGGTTTTAGAAGATACATGTGTGGGCACTTTCAAGATTTATTTTTTTTTAATTTATAGTTCAAACCAATGCAGATACAAGTTATATTTACATTATAACTCTGATATTTTTAGTTGACATCAGGCAATAATTAAGCTAGTACACAACTGTTTCTTAACAAATTCTAGTTCTTCTGTAAAATATTTAAATCTACTATTAAAATATTTAAAGTTACCTGTGTCCTCATTGGTGCAGTATTCAGCATTAAATGTTGGTTGTTATTGTGAAACATAATTCATGGTCACTAAAATAGCTTTGGGTCATTCAGGGAAATTATTGCTGTTGTGCAAACTACTACTTTCTATTGCTCTCAGAAATGAGCAATTATAATATTCCATCAATTTTTATAGTGTAGATAACAGTAAATGACAACAGATGGATGCAGTTCTTAACAGTTCTGTGATAATGTTTGTTTCTTGTCAAATGTTTTAACTCTGAAAGTCTTTTTCCATTTTTTTCCATTATTTCCATTTCACTATTGTATTTTTAGGTTATGTGGGGCTAGTAAATCAAGCAATGACTTGCTACTTGAACAGCCTTCTACAAACACTTTTCATGACTCCTGAATTTAGAAATGCGTTATATAAGTGAGTATATGGAATAAAAACCTGTTCTTGAATTTGTGCTGGTATATATTGGTAGGAGACCCTTTTGAATTTCTCCTGTCAAAATTTCCTTGTTTGGATACTGAAAAGCATATTTGAAGTCAAGCTGCATAGACTTATAAATTATATCTGCTTAAAAGCTTCAGATTTTTAGTAAAATAGTTAGTAAAGTAATATGTTATTGGTTGTGGCATGGGCAAGCTTTTTAAAGAATTTGCTCCATCTCGAAAACATCAAACTTGAAATTAAGTTTGATACTAAGTGCAGTTCATGTCTGTATTTGTGCAGTGAATGGCTTCAAAATTATTTTGTGTTGGATTTGTACATTTAAAGAATTGTATTGTTGTTTACTGCAGAAATGGAAAGCAATTTCATTTGACTTTTCCCAAGAAGCAGAGCTTCAGTTAACCTTTCTAATCTGGCAGACCTCTTGAAATGTAATAAATGCTGATTTAAATGCATTTTTGAGTAATGTTTTCAAAGCATTTTTAATTGTCAAATATCTTGTGTTGTCAATAGATGGGAATTTGAAGAATCTGAAGAGGATCCTGTGACGAGTATCCCCTACCAGCTTCAAAGACTGTTTGTTTTACTGCAGACCAGCAAAAAAAGAGCAATTGAAACAACAGATGTTACACGGAGTTTTGGATGGGATAGTAGTGAGGGTAATAATGGAGCTATTAAGCGTGTGTGATTTGCTTCAGAAGCTGCCTGTTAGGGGTCTAAACTGCTGTCGATAGGGGAAAAATACTGGAATAATTAAAAACAATTATTACGATCCACTTTGTTTCAATGGAAACAAAATAGCCTAAATAAATACTTTGTGGTGTGTGTTTGACTTTTAAAGAAATGTCTGAATTTTAGGCTGTTAAAGTAAAAAGCATTATATTTTTGTAATTAAGCTATCATTACAGTTGTTAATTGTTTCTAAAGTAGCTGTTTATGAGAAACTTGCATGTGTTTTGAATCACAAATGTGAAATGCACAAGTTCCACTTAAGTAGAAAATAATATGGATAATTCCATAAAATCAAACACTGTTTTTGTCTTCCTGACAGTTGTATAGTGTAATTTTGCCCGATAACCTGCTGATTTTTCTGTGGAGTAATCACATGATGATAAGAAGTTGAAAATTGAGTTTTAGAGAATCAGTGCAAAGTGGGAGATAAGTCAGAACCTGTTTATTTTACAACAGTGCATATTAGCATTTCTGGGGTATTTTTACATTCTTGCTTATGTACGCAATTCTTGTTTATGCACAAACATTGTGAGTAAGCTGGCTGCTTATTTTTCTAACTTAACTTGAGAGGCAGCTGCTGATGGAATTGAACACTGGCCCAGTAGTGAATAGTGTAGTAAATAATAGGGACACACTTGAACAAATCAGTAGCTTTCTAGGAAGTATTCTGAGGCTACAGTTAGTATTGGGGCTAATAACATCTCTTGTATTAATTAACATTGATTTTCATTTCCAATAGCATGGCAACAACATGATGTACAGGAGCTTTGCAGAGTCATGTTTGATGCTTTGGAGCAGAAATGGAAGCAAACAGAACAGGTAAGTGTATAAAAACTTTCTTCATTCAGCAGTGTGGTTTTGTTGGATTTTTTTTAAGGACAATTTTGAAAAATGTTAATTGAATTTTAAATACCAGGTTATTGAAAGTTTGCAATAGTTGCCATTTTTATTGTTTGATGCAATAGTTAAGCTAGTATAATGTACGACTTTTAAGAGTGTGCTGCTTATGTTTTTGTCCCCCAATTAAAAGTGGAATATTCTGAACTCTGGATACTTAGTCTTTATTTGAAGCACAGAAAGTGACTGTAACTCCTGTGATAGCTTCCTTACTGTCAGTATTTATTAGGCTATGTTGCGGGCTCTTGAAGCTCAAGCCCGCTCTTCTAATGTAAGACAAAGTTAGGAATATATTTGTAACACATGCTACATTCTGATAAGCAGCCAACTTGTAGGCCAATTTTCAGATTTGTAAGATTGGCAAGTACTTCCTTTATCTGTCTGCATCTACCTCTGGACACACGGGGAAGGACTTGCAGTATCAATCTATTAACAATGTCTGCAAGATCAGGCTGGTTTTTAAAACATAAACTTCAATTTTTGTAGTTTCGTAGTCACTCTTTGAGACATGGCCGTAAAGTACACTGTGAAGTTTCTATATCATGGTTTGAGAAGCTCATTTGATATGTGTTTTGTGCAGTGGTGGGGCAGGGGAAAACAAGAAATCAAGAGATGGATGTCCTGCTGGGGAATGGTATTCTGAATGTGTAGCTACGCAATTAAGACTTAATTAAAAAAAGACATTTTCTTGTAAAACTAAAGAAAGGAAATGTGTTTAAAGTTCTGTTGAATATCTGTTTGTTTCAGGCCGATCTTATAAATCAGCTCTACCAAGGCAAACTGAAGGACTATGTAAGATGTCTAGAATGTGGCTATGAAGGCTGGAGAATCGACACTTACCTGGATATTCCTTTGGTCATCCGGCCATATGGCTCCAACCAGGCATTTGCTAGCGTGGTGTGTACTATTATGCTGACTAATAGTGCATCCATACACACATAGAATACATAATGCGACAGTGGTATAATTTGTTACATGGTAAGTATCATCCTAGATACTCCATCTTGGGGTGTTCGTCTTTGTGCAGTGAACCAGCTAGCAAGTTCTAGAAGATTTTTTTTGGCTTTTTGGTTTATTTTTTGTTTTGTTTTTTTTTTCTTTTGCCCTTCAATGAGTCCTACTGGTGCATGTATAAGGGGAGGGGAAATGCAACTTTATTGCCTTAGGGCTGCAGTAATCAATTATTTTCTTCCTGATAAAATCTTCAGCATTTACTCGAGATATTTTTATGAGATCACTGAGTTATATTTGGGTTGTTCTCTTTATTGGCACATTGCTAAATTTTCATAGCATTGTTGAAAATCTTAGTGAAAGAACGGAACTTTGACTTAAAATTTTTAGTTTAATTGCCATGTTGTTGCTGTGCTTCTTAAAGTTCACTTCTCAAACACCATATGCTTTTAACAAGCGATTTAATGATAGTAAAAAATCCTATTGTACATCAGTGTTCTTGGTCACTTTTGCTCCAGCATTACTGATGTTGGCAAGCATATATATTGCTTAGTAAATCTGTGGAAGTTTCTTTGTTTTATTTTTTCCACCCCCCTGAAAAGAAGTGATTACAAGCGGTGAAATTCCACTGTTGTGGCTTAAAATACTTGTACTATGGATGAAGTTGTGAGAAAGAATAAGAATAAATCAGACAAGTCTTTCAGTAAAGGTTGTTTTAAACAAACACTGGTTATGTAATTGGCTTACCAGGATTATTTATTATATATATTCCTTTTGTATTTAGTATGCTGGCAATATTTTTTAAGCACCAATAGTCTGCGATTCTTAACAGTAATTCTGTTAAGAGGAGAATTGTTAGAATTAGGTGAAACTGCAGTGTAGGTTCAAAGCACTTCATACTTTAAATACCAATCTTGAGAAGTAGTAAAGATATGAAGGACATGGATCTCACATAAAGGATTCAAGTTAGTAAAGTCCTTTGAATTCTTTTTAAGATCACATTAAAATATTTTAGAACTATCCAGCTAATTGATGCTGTATTGATACAGATTGATATTTTATATAGATGGCTTCCGTTTTCACCTTGTAAAACTAATTTCTAGAAATATTGCCTAAATCAAAATTTTTTTTGTAATTTTTAATAGATCGGAAAAATCTCATTATTGAATAAAGTAATGAAAACTATTCAGTTCATGTAGTTGTATTCTGCATTTAACAATGCATTGTACATGTGTCTCAAATTGAAATTTTTTTCTTTGTTAGTAGAGAAGTCTGTAGTGGAATGCTAAAAAAAAAAGACTTTGTATATTTGTAAAAACACAGAAAGCTTGAACAATTAAGAACTTAAATATCAGATTACTTTCAGTAGTATTTGATATTTCTCCTATAAATCGGCATTTACTGGGTTTACAACATTGAGGAAAATAGTTTTAAGATTTTTGTTACACAGAGTTACATGGTTGCAATTTGTATTGATGCTTCAATTTTTGAGCTTTTTTAATTCGTATTCTGATTCTATTCAGTTGATTCTCCTCCCTGCATTTGTGTTATCTATAGCAGATGTAATTTTTAGTTTTGTAGTCTTCAACAGTGGGGAGATATGGAGGATACTTGCTTTTGGAGAAGGGAAAAATCGCCTGTTTCTAAATGGAATTCTCTGAAGGTAGTATCCTCCATTGATCCATAGATGGTGGTGATTTAGTAGGTGTAGGTAAAAGGGTATGAGAGAGAGAGCAAAAACTTCACACATGCGCTAATAGGGCTTATAGAAGGGAATGTAAAACTTTTTAGACCTTGCTAGTCAGCTCCTGAGGGAACTTGCAGCAGGCGACACAACCCAAGATAGGGGATCTAAGGAGGATACTACCTTCAAAGAACTCTAGTTAGAGGTAAGTGATTTTCCATTACTTTCTAATAAGAGAGAATGGATGTATGAGCTTTAAGTAAGGTTAATCTGTAGAATGCCGCATAAAGTGTATTATCCCACTGTTCGACATTGTGTACTACCAAAAAACATAGATACCTAAAATGTTGCATTTACCTATAAATATATATGTATTACTTCTAAATACATGGGAATATTGAAGAACTGGAAGGATAATGTTATGCTTGCTTTATTTCCTAATACGAACTAATTCTGAAATTCTTCAGTATGTTTTTAAGGTTTGCATTTTGAAGTATTTTTTCTGATTCCCCACTCCATCCTCTAAGTTCATGTAATAAGACTACATAGCTGCAAACTCATTAGGGCAGCTCTGGGGCACTGAGATCTTGTCAGTATGTATCTCAAGATAGTTTCTGAAAAACTACTTACGCTATCTGCGTTGTTCAAGAATATGGTTTAAAAAAACCTGAATCAGTCTTTTCTGGAGGTCAGTAGAAATATAGATATAAAAATATATAGCTTATTTCAAGGAGGTAAACAGGAGCAGCAATTCACATACTGATTCTTGTAGGTACTGGTATCTTTTGTATAGATGCCTGAATTTAACAGCATTAGACATAAGCTAAACTTAAAAATTTTGCAAGATGAAGAACAGCTGAGAGAAGAGTGGATGCAATGGGGATCCAGCTGGAATGCTGAAATTATGTTACTTAGAAAACAGTGGTAATTGCTTTGTAATACCAAAAGGCTAGTAATAATACAAGTATTCTGGAGATGTAGCACGTACAGTTCTGTTTTGTTAAGTGTTGTTAGTTTCCACCATCTTTTGTATGTTAGTTTTTCTTTTGAGGGTGTAAGTACGCATACAAGTAGACCACTTTTGGGCAGAAATTAATTTGGACTTCTGTGTGAACTTATTTTGTGGTGTCATTGCCAAACTAAAACTGTTGAAGGCAGTTAGAATATGGATGATTTGATATATACTTTTTTTTTTTAAGCTACATTGGTAACAACAAGGTCTTGTATTTTTAGTTGAGCATATTATTTGGACATGGGAAAACTAGATGAGGTCTGAAACTCTGAGATGGCAATTAGTTTCTGGTTTTCTCCAAGAACAGTTTTGCCTTTTGCTATTTATTGTGTAACTTTTCATAAAGGTTTTACTACTCCTGCTCACAGGTTTTGCAAATTTACACATTTACAAATGCTTGCAGTAAGATACCTGTCAAACTACTGATTATATCATGATGCATTTTTGTGAAGAGTGTGTCCAAAGTGCCTATCTTTTGCCAGACAATAATTAGTTTGAACTGTTTGTTATGGCATTTTAGTATGCTAAGTGTTATAAATCTCATAAACAGAATATTAAAAACTGGATATTCTCAGAACTTGGCTGGACAAGGCCCTGAACAATGTGCTTTAAGTTGGACTTGCTTTGTGCAGGGAGTTAGGATCAGATGATCTCCAGAAGTCTCAGCCTATATTGTTCTTTTGATTCTGTGAACTATAAAAAAAGTTGAAGTAGCCTTTGTCATACTAATCTATTGCTTGGTCATATATGGTATATTTTGAAGTGTGTGTTGGGAATGTTGGAAATGCATGGTAGCTCTAAGGCTACATAATAGTTACCTCTTTGAAGATAACTTCAAAGGTAACATTTATTCTAAAAGTAGAGTTGCACAAAAATGGGAGATGTCATGTGATAGGTTGTGCAGCGTAGAAGCTTTGTCACTGGTTTTGCTGAGTAAACTGTCAGAGTAGAAAATGGTGAACTGCATTAGAATAGGAATTGTATTAAGAAATGCCCTATCAGCAGAATTAACTTTGGTGTAGAGATTATATAGGAGGAAACTGCAGGAGACACAAATGAGTAACCCTGAGGAACCGCGATGTTCCTTATACAAGGATTGAAAAATACATGGAAATTCATATAGCTCAAAAATACCAGAGTTTTCAAGAGTTTTAATCAGGTTTTTCAAAGCATAGCTTGCTATGTGTGGTAAGCAGTGAAACTGCAAGAGTAATGTAATAATACTTCATTCAGTTTTGGGGGGTCTGAAGGATCATTACTTTTTTCCATATGTAAAAACTTATAGCATGTTTCCTTGTTAAATTGCACATCATGTGAGTCTATGTAAGCATTACATAACCATTTATGTCCCATCATTCCTATATTCCCATTCATTCATATTCATGTTGATGCATGAATTGCAAATTTTTTCTTACACTTGAAATATATTTTTATTGTCATAACTGGCATTTGATTCATAAGAGTTCATTATGAATGAATGGTCATTATGTGATGTTTTCTACACTTCATGTTTTCTGTGGTTATTAACTTTTTTCTTTCATTTAAATAGTTCTGAATATTAATTCCTTAACTAGTTCACAGAATAGTGAAAATGGAGTAATCCATTTCTTCCCCTTTCTTTTTAAGCAGGGTTGTAACTTGCTTAGTCTTCTTTCTTACATTTTAGAATAAGATTCCTCACATTTCAGTGCATAATCATACTAAACATTAGGTATTTGTTGACCTTGAGTAAAAAGCAACTCAGCCTCTGCAGCGTTTAGGAAGTATATATGTAGACAGCAGTTCAATTCAGACTCTAAAATGTTTTCACGTGTCTAGAGAGTATCTCTGCCTAAGAGCTGTGATTTCAGGGCTGTTCAAAGGCTTTTCTGGCTGGATCCAAAAATGGTAAAGTGAGATGACTGCCTTCAGCGTACAGTTGTTCCATTGAGTTTGGCACATTTTTCGTTTGTGAGTAGTTGTCACCCTGAATACAGTCCTTTTTCAAAAGTCCTTTCTCCTACAACAGCAACAGAGCTGTTGTAAAACATTTGTTATATTATTGTTCTTGCTGCTTCCCTGAGTTCTCAGAAAGAAAGAAGGGAGAAGGGAAGAATTGGAGGCTTTTTGAAGAGTTTGGCATATCCTTGATTTCCTCCCAAAGTGTCACTTATCAAACAACATGATGTAGATAATAATCTTAAGTTCTGTGCCAGGCATGTTAAAATTGGTGAGTTTACTCTGCCCAGTTAAGCCCCTTCTTACTTATTCAGACTTCAGGGAACAGCTACAGTCCTTTGTAAGAGATAATGATTTTAAAAACATTGTTTCTGTTGATAATCTTTGCTTTAAACTGAATGTCTAAATATGCAAGTTGTATTTGTTTTCACCTCCATAGGTGAACAGAGAACTAAGGGGTTCCACTTGGAGTTCAGAAACCCAGAGCCTATTGGCTTCCAAGCTGACTGGGTTAAAAGTTTTAACTTTTAAAATCTCTGGGTAAAATTCTTCACTGAACCCATCTCAATATTCTTAGTCAATTTTGTTTGAATAAGTTTGTTCTCAAGTATATATAACTTATATGCAACATCGTTGTTGCAAATTATATTAGGGGGAGGACAGTTTGGTTGTATTTTGAATACTGTTTGCTGTAGAGGGGAGCAAAGTAGAAATCATTAAACTCCTGGATTTAAGCATTAGTGACAGAACTTTTAGGCAGCTGTCAGAGGACAAAAGTGCAGTTATTGGTCAGTTGCCTCATAAGGTTTACGCTAGGAAGCTAGTTCTGTCTTTATAGAAGATGGCCATATCTGATTCTCACTCCTTTGGGAGTGAAGCTCAAATACTCTCCCTCGGTCCTTTCCCCACCTTTCACTTAGAAATAATATCTTCAAATGTAGTTTTCCAGGTCCCTTTGTAGAATGGGACTAAGGTGGTCTTCAGGCAGGGCGCTGAGGAACTGAGTAACATTTTTTTTCCTGCCACCTCCCTCCCACCCCCCCATAATTATTGGATGGTAGCTGTTGGGAAAAACTCCTCTTGAAATGCAGAACAATCATCTCAAAATTCTGGGAGAACAGGGCCAAAGCAGGGTTAGAAAATAAGCTCGTTTTCACAGCAGTTGACTCAACAGACATGACTAAATGTGGTGTGCAAGCTAACAGGAGTCAATGTCATTTTATTTCATATGTTTATTAAAACAAAGACAATTTGGATTCATCAAATACTGAATGAAATATAGTTAGCAGTAATTGTGGTTTGACTATTTAACCTTGGGCTGGGTGGAGAGGTTGGTTTCTCTTCATATTTTCCTGACTATGTCTGTATCAAAGTTTATGTCAATCAAATTTTGGTTGTATTTTTAATTGAAATAGTTGTATGCGTTTGCAGTCTCAATGTAAATTTATCATTCTGATTTATACCTACATAGTAAACATTCTTTAAAAATCAGGTACCATCTTTTTATTATTAGGAAGAAGCACTGCATGCTTTCATTCAGCCTGAGATTCTTGATGGCCCCAATCAGTATTTTTGTGAACGATGTAAGAAGAAATGTGATGCAAGGAAGGTAAAGACTGTCCAAATCACTTGCGAAAATTGCTTTTGGTAAATCCTGACAATGGTAGCATAATCTTGTCTTTGCTTCATTTAGGGTCTGCGGTTCTTGCATTTTCCGTATCTGCTGACATTACAGCTGAAGAGATTTGACTTTGATTATACCACTATGCACAGAATTAAACTCAATGATCGTATGACTTTTCCTGAGGAGTTAGACATGAGTGTCTTCATTGATGTTGAAGATGAGGTAAGGTGTTTGGTTTCAGAGAAAAGTCTTCAAGAAAGTTAAAGTTTCTCAATTAAAATGTCAGTCTAATAAACCCATTTTAACAACATTATTCATCTACATAAATGTTCTTTAGCCATGGCAATGTTTTAATTTGAACTTTTAAAATCTGTCCATGTGGAATTTTGCTATACTGAAAAGGAAGCATATTCTCTAATCACTATAGGGTTTCCATGCTTCTGTAAAAAAGCTGTTCCTAATTTCTTCTATCTTCACATGAGTGATTTAAAAGCAGAACTCTCAGGGCTTCTACATATACTGCAAGTCTGAAATAAAACATATTTTTTAGACTTGTGTCTGAATCTGTTTTGATCACAAGAGGTGATGTAAAGTTTTGAAACTCTGGACACTGAAGTTAGTCCAGAAAACATTAATGATTAATTCCTTTCCTCTGACTCACAATGTTGTGTATGCTGTAGAAATTAGATTTTTAAAATTTTGTTTTTCACTTCCATCTGGCTTTTAACTCTTCTGGTTTTGGCCAAAATTCATGTTGTGCAGTTACATTCACCGAAAAGCGTTTAATGTGCCTTCTGCATTAAAGACTAAATTTATTCCTCTAATTTCATTCCTGAAAACATTATGTCACTTTGCTAGTTCATAGTGGCATAAGAGAAATACTGTGTTGATGTGCATATGGAGAGGCTTTTCTGACTCTATACAAACCTTTGTTTTATGAAGTGTGCCATTTAAGCAATTTGATACCTCTCAAAGTGTTACTGGGGGGGCTAAATGAGAATGAAGATTGATCTGGGAGAACAGAACTTGAGACAAAATTAGCAACTATCAGAAAATCAAAAAAATTATCCAGAGGAAAGAGGATCAGGTAAGAGATGGATATACTGACTTGTACTAAACGAACTGTATTCATAGTGTTGTTGACATCAAGCTTTTAAGCTAATAGAGCACTGACCAGTCTTACTATAATACCTTGACTCTGTCCAATGAGTTGAAATGGAAAAAAGTCTTTGACTGTGGATGAAAATATTTCCAGTCAAATAAGTTCTGATTAACAGGCCCATGTTACAATAGTATTTGTTACCTGGTATTAGACTTCCAAGATATTTAATTGAATGGAATAGGCTAGTAAGAGATATAATCCTGTCAAGTATGAAACCAGGTAATTGCCACTCAGTTGCACATGAGATGAGAAAATATTGATCTAAGACGTGAACTGAAGACAGTTACTAACAGAAACAAGTCTGTTCTCAATGCTGAATTGCAGAGGTCTCTAGGTTTTTGAGGAGTTTCATTGTTTTGCAGATTGGAATTTTTTAATTTCACAACCGTATTGCCATTTCTTGTTCCGTGTAACTTTAAATGTTGTATAATAGTATGTATGTGTTTTATTTTTAAGAAGTCTCCTCAGACTGAGAGTTGCACTGATAGTGGAGCTGAAAATGAAGGCAGTTGTCACAGTGATCAGATGAGCAATGATTTTTCTAATGATGATGGAGTTGATGAAGGAATCTGCCTTGAAAGCAATAGTGCAGCAGAAAGACTTTCTAAAGCTGGCAGTGAAAAGGTACGTTTAAAAAAAAACGTTGTACTGGGTCTGATTGAGATGGAGTTAATATTCTTTCATAGTAGCCTGTATGGTGCTCTGTTTTGGATTTGTGACTAGAACAGTGTTGATAGCACACCAGTGTGTTAACTCTTGCTGAATGGTGTTGCACAGTACCAAGGCTTTCTCTTGTTTCTCATTCTGCCCCTGTAATGAGTAGGGCTAGGGGTGGGCAAGAGACTGGAAGGGGTACGTAGCTGGGATGGCTGGCCTGAGTTGACCAGAGGGTTATTCTGTACTGTATTTGTTGCTGTGTGATGTTATGCTCAGCAGTAAAAACTGGGGGCTTTCCAAAGTAGCTGTTGCTCAGAGACTGGGTGGGCATTGCTCTGCTGGTTGGGAGGTGGTGAGTAATGCCTTTGCATCATTGCATCTTTTTTTTTTTTTTCTTCTTATTTCCTTCTCTTATTAAACTGTCATTATCTCCAGCCTCAAGTTTTTCTCACTTTTGCTCTTCTGATTCTCTCCACTGTCCCACTCAAGGGGAGGAATGAGTGACTGGCTGGGTTGGGTGCTTAGTTGCTGGCCAGAGTCAACCCACCACAAATATAAATGATAAAAATATAATTAATGCTGATATTGGGGGTGAGGGAGTAGGAGTGTGTGGTTTTATTCAAATTCCAAAAACTGATATTACAGCAAAGGAAAGCATGCAACTGATTTTGAAGGTCACCTGAGAATAAAGGTTTTCCCAGCTTGTCAGACTAAAAATTCCCAGATAACTTGTTTTGGCAGCAGACCATCAGATTGAAGACTGCTTTGTCTTGTGAGTAGTCGATTTTTTTGAGGCCAATTGTCAAAGGCCTACCAGCTTTGGCTGCAAAAGCGTCTTGCAGCTTAGCAGGATAAGATTATAAAGTTTTGATCAGTCTCTGCCATCTGTTTCTTGTCCTTATAAAAATGGCCATATAGATGAGGCCATGGGTCTAAATGTTAAATATTCATTTGGTCATCTTGAGTTAATATAAAGGAATTGAGCAGCCAGTCAGTCTAGGATAGCAGTCATCCTTCTATGGGACATAAAGATTAGCACAGATCTTTGAGAAACCTGAGTTTTCTTGCCAATACAAAATTCATCAAAACTCCTCTGAGTTTTATGGTAATGTCTACAGTATGTACTTCATGTGTCGTTATTCAGTGAGCTCACCTGAAGTTTGGCCAATAGGTTTTATTCAGACTTGTTAGGAAAAGCTGTTTGGCTGCAACTGTTACTTTCATAAATATTTAAAGGCTGACTTGCATTTTAATGTGTGCATCTGTCCCTGTTTACATTTATGTTAAACCATTTGAGAGGGTTTTTTGATAAATGTTCTAAACACTGTCAATCTTAGCTGGAAAAAAAGAAAGCAATTAATAGATAGTCACTTGACTGGAATAGGGACAGACTATTGTAATGTATCTGTAATGCAAATGTCATGTCCTAGTATTGACAGTAGCTTTGCCCAATTAACACATACTACTTGTTCTAGGCAAACTAGTTGTCAAGCCATGCTGTTAGCTTTTTGGTTTGGATATCTTAATAATGGATGCAGTAGTCCATGCTAAGAATTTACAGAGCATTTCTTCTATACAATCTAAAAAAAATGTAATTCTTGTAACACCTAAGTGAGTGAGTATTGTTCAGTCTTATTTTTTTTTAATGTATACACAGCACTGAATGGATGTCCTTAGTACCATTTATTTCCATCCTTTTAGTTATGAAAAGAAAGATTTATGACAGCAAACTTGGAGTGGTGTGAGAGAAATTAATGTAGAGTGTTGATAAGCGTTGAATGGCGTGTTGCTGGTTTGCAATATACATTAAGGGACAAAGCAATCTTCAAGAATGCAGAGAAGGGTGATAGCAAATAAGCCTAAACTTTGTAGCTACAGGCAAGTTAGTCATTACTTTTGTTTCTTGTGTGGAGATACGTTTCATACCTATCTAGCTAAGAATTCACAAATTCAGAGCTTGTACAGAAAAGAAGTAACAGTAATGCATTAAGCCAGTTAAAAAATGTTTCCATGATTATTTTTTTTCTTAAGTTGTTTAGTCTTTTCTCTTTCTCTCTTCCCACCAACGAAAGGGGAGATTCCTCTTTACTTCCATTATTACATACTGTTGTATAATGTTTAGCATATCAGACCTCTAATTTTGTTCAGTGTCTGTTGCAGTGATGCACTTCTGTTATACCAGTCCGTTTTGTAACGTACAACTATTTATATATTTGGGTTCGTGTAGTTGTTTTAAAAATTTTTTTAAATGATCATTTGGTTACCTTTACTTCATATGTATCACACCTTTTTCTTCTTCCCCAGAGTTCTTTACTGTATGAGCTCTTTTCTGTTATGGTTCATTCTGGAAGTGCTGCTGGTGGCCATTATTATGCCTGTATAAAATCTTTTAGTGATGACCAGTGGTACAGCTTTAATGATCAGCATGTTAGCAAGGTAAAAATGGTATTTTTATTTATCTTGTGTACTCATAGATGAACCAATAAGTTTCTATTTTGCATGTCGTTTTGCACTGACGTATAATGAAGCTGATTTTATGTGCAGGTATCTCAAGCATTTACTTTGTTTCATCTTCTCATCCTAATGTCCTGCCATATACGTTTCACTCATTAGCTTACCTGATTTCTAGGGGGGGTGGTTTATTTACTTCTGTATGGGGTTTTGAGCATTGCAGGGGAGGAGTGTTTCTTCTTGATGGTGGGGGGGGGTGGTTCATAAAGAAGCCTTTATTCGTGTACAGACCAGGCTGGATTTAGAATTTTGCCTTCTATACACGTGAAGAATATGTCTTGCTTAGAGAAATGTATTTGTAGATCCATTACAACCCGGATTGTGCTGTTAAACCTGTCCTGCTGATGCATTTCAGGTGTTACATGTATTCATAAACATTACTGCAGTCAAGAACCTGGATATTGTTTTTTTAAGAAGTTCCTACTTCTAAAAAAGAAGAAGCAGATCACTTTGAAACAGTTTTTTTGCAGTCAGCAAATAAGCAGAAATATTTTTAAAAAATTAGAATTATTAATATTGCATGTTAACTATGTAATGCCATTTTTCCTAATGAGAATAAATGCATCTTGATTAGTGCAAGTTTCTCAAATAATCATTAAATTAATTTTCTGTTAGATAACTCAGGAAGATATTAAGAAAACATATGGTGGATCTTCTGGAAGCAGAGGCTATTATTCCAGTGCTTTTGCTAGGTTAGTAGTACTGTAATATTACTTTTCTTTCTGGTGGTGTTTTAGTGTAATCAGATGAATGGCCAAGATATATGTGCTTAACGTGTTAGCTTAAAAGTAATAGTAGATGCTTCAAATAGTTGTAAGAACTATGCTAACTGCTGTTTCGGATCATTAAAATAACATGATATTTGTTTTTGAAAATTCTTCTTGGTTGGCGTATTGCTAAGATATGTATGATAGCTCCTTACTGGGGGAAAAACAAACAAACAAACAACTTTTGAAGTAATTATTGTCCTCCTATCTGAGAAATTCAGATAACTATTCTTTTCTCTACAGCTCCACAAATGCATACATGCTGATATACAGACTGAAGGATCCCACAAGAAATGCAAGTAAGTATGTTTTCCAGTTCTTAACTAGTAAGATTGTGTTGTGGAATAAGGAGATGTTTTACATGTGATGAGTACTAATTTTTGTGAGGATGTTGGTATTGGTATTTTTAGGGTAAACTAAAGTAACTTTTATATAGGAAGCCTTTTTTTATGTCTTTTTGTTACTCTTTTTATAGTAAACCTTTATGGATCATTAGGAGGTCATCACAAAATAAATTTTCTGATTTTTTTTTTTTTAGTGTTTTATATACCATAGAAATGAAAAACACATATACTGAGTGACACTGAATAAGCTGTAATATAATGCTATATAGTGTCACGATTGATAGTGGAATAAAAATTATGTTCTTTAAAAATGAGTATGTAAGAACTTCATAATGGCAAAGTTTTACACTTTATAACCAGCCCTTATTGTTTGTGTTTCAGTTAAGAGGTGAGAAAATATACTATAAGTTACATAGTTAGAAACAAATCTTGGATTTCACTGTCTTTTATTCCCCTCATCTCTGATTAGTTCACTAGGGCTTAGAGGATGCCTGGCCCCATGTAATAGCTGACAGGTTGATTAATCTTTGAAATATGGTACAGTGGAAAATGAAGATTCTATTTGGATTCAAAACAGGAGTGTCTGGTTGGAGTCTTCATTCAATTATTGGCTAATTTCATAGGGTCTTAGTCTTTCATATTACTAATAAGTGTAAACTACCAGGATTTCTCTTGTAGATATTTTTAATACTCTATTATTTGCTTGAAAACACTTAATGTTTCTCATTTAAAATCTGAGCACACCTAAATGATGCAGTAGTAAATGAAATTTTGATAGAATAGAACTTTTTTTAACTAATACCAAAATAGAAGGAAGCATGTTAGTTTGCTATTTTCCCCTTTTTGTTAATCCGTTGTTAGAATCACAGCTGTAGAAAGAGAGCAAGAGCAGCAGTGGCTAGCCACGCTTGCTCTCACTAGCAGTAAGTGCCTGGAAGAATCAAGTATTTTTGTTAATACTCTAACTGGTTGAATTGAGCCAAAGATTAATTTGCTTGCAACATCAAAGCTGTATTTATTTTTTCTTAAAGGAAGAATTCAGTAGTCTGCACTTACAAAGGGTAATTTGTCAGTCTGTAGCCTGGCTGAAGTTAGGCTGATAAATAATGCAGACTGTTCTAAGTTTTGGGGGTGTATATAGTTCAATTGTCAGAACAGTCAAGGAATAATTTTTCCTAATAGCTTAAGCAGATGAGAAGCCACAAAAACTTTCAAAGGCAGTTAAAAAACTTCTCATATCTCTGCATTCCTACTTTTTTTTTTTTCTTCTTTTCCATTAAATGCTCAAGAGGTTGGGTGGCCTAAAGAATAGATTCAAGTTCTCAAGAATCTTAAAATCATCCTTTGTAGGGAGAATATTTTGATAGCTGGGTTTATTTTATTTTTAATTGGTAAACTGAAATTATGTATTACTTAATAAGAGTAGAATCTTACAACTGAAACCTTTGGCACCTCACATTATGTAGCTGCTTTTGGGGCCTACTCATTCTTTTTGAAGAACATGCAAGCGTAGAAAAGACTTGTATACTTGAGAAAGTTTGTAACATGCCAACTTGTAATGTGTCCGGTGGAGGAGGGAATAAAATACCTTTGAAAATAACATTTTGTTTATCTTATTCTGCTGCTGTAAATATTTTGGAGGGAATCGAATAGTTGTCTGCTTCCTTTAACTGCTGCTTTTGGGGTAAAATTTTGAATTCCACCATGAGAAACTGAGGATGCCTATTAGCAAGAATAAGGAAAGAAATGAGCAGTGCAAGGATGAGTAAAACAAGCTTTAATGTTTTTTGGAATACAAATTAAAAAAATCTAAGCTTATACTAAATTTTATTAAAAAAACCCACAAGAAAACAATACTAAAATTAATAAAAGTAGATTTGCAACTATTTCTACATCAGTATATTCTAAAAAGTGTTTTATGATACTTGGAGCAAATTTGTAATCTCATTTCAACATCCTAAACACAAACCACCTTTATTTTTAGCAGCAATCTATTTCATTGTACACAGAGTACTTTCAGACATGTTACTATTTTCTACTTTTCTACTTCTTTCTTTTACTTTTCTACTCTTTTCTCAATACAGTTGAACAATGGTATTTTCTTTGAGGAAATAGGGAGGGAGGGGAAAATCTAAGTATCTCACAAAATTAGTGTTGCTGGCTTCTCTTTGTTTCTGAGAATTCATGATACAGGGGACAGTGCAGTTATAAAAATATGTTATTTCATTTTAAAGTAACAGTATCTGAAGTAGGTGCTTTTATATAGTTTTGAAGTGGATTCAACACAAGAAGGATACTGTTAAAACAAAGCCTTTTATCAACAAATTGATAAAGTAGTAAGTCTTAAGAGCAACCCAAAAAAAATATAATTTCAATGTTTGAGTCATTGAAACAATATTATTCATTCTGAACAAGAAGTGATTGTAAATTGTATGAAGTTTAAGAATAAATAGCAGCCATAAACAAAGTCTATGGGTCAAGAGCTGTCTTTGGAAATGGGTTTTCCTGTAAGTGCTATGATTGTTAATTCCTCAACAAGCAAATGAAGAAACTGAATCTGCTATTTCAGATTACTTGAACATGCCAAACACATCTTTAAATCTGAAAAATTATTTGCCCAATTCCTTGCAATAGGAGTGGCACCAGGATTGGAAGACAACTGTATTTGCAAAAGTAGATTTTTTCAAATTTTTTTTTTAACTTAATGAAGTATTGCATGTTCTGTTTTTGTTTTTTGTTTCTCTTTCTGAAACAAAATCTCACGAAGTACATTAATCTTTATTAAGTGCAATATTTATTTTACTACGATATAGACAATACCTGATATCTCGTGACTTTTATTATCAGCTAATTCACTTCTAGAACAGAATTTACCTTTATTGTAAAAACAGGTTCAAGTCTTAGTATATTTCTTTACAACAGCAAAGCTTCCCTTACTGATACTGGAACATTAATCTTGTGCTAATAGCATTTTCTTGTGTTGCTGATGTATAATTAAGGGGAATAAAAGGCTGACTTTGGTTTCATTTAAATCATGAAAATGAGAACAGGACGTGGTATAGTGGGAAATTTGGGCAGAGAAGAGAGAGGGAAGAAGGCAAGATAGATTAACTATTAAATATACCCATATTTCCTAAGATGTTGCCCACTGTGGAAAAATCTATTTTTTTAAACTATTGCTTTTTTTTTACTGGCAGAGTTTCTTGAGGCACATGAGTATCCAGAGCATATTAAACAGTTGGTACAGAAAGAGAGAGAACTGGAAGAACAAGAGAAGAGGCAACGTGAAATTGAGCGCAACACTTGCAAGGTTAGAATTTCTGCTGAATAAAGTAACAATACATTTCTAGCAAGAAATGTCTCTATAGTAAATAGTAATTTTTTACTACAATAGAAGGGCTCTTGTGATAAGTGTATTTGTATTAATAACTCTTTAAAATGAATTGTACGCCTTTTGGAAGGCTGCACACAGTGGGGGCATCTGTTAGAGGTATTCACCAGAGATTTTTGTTGAGTGCCTGTCTTCCATGTGAATTGGAATTGGTATTAAAACCAAAACAAAACTATAGTTAATCTGACATCACTTGATTTCAGCAAAAAGAATTCCAAAGCATATGGAATGCTCTGTCAGGTGTTCCGTACTGTTAAATCTTTTCATGTTGTGACCCTTTGCTTTGTGAAATGATGTTTCTTAAACTAATTTAAAATTATTATTTGGCAGAAAGAGCAGAACCTTTTTCCCACCGTAGATTCAATAGTAACAAACAAAATATTTCGTCTATGACTTACAAGCATGACAGTCAGCTGGTCCACCTGTGAATCAAGTGATTGTTTTATTAGAAGGTTCTCTATGGTTGTGAAATACGTAACTCTGTATGTGAAAAAGGAATTTCACATTCATCATTCCTACGTGCATTTTGTTTTGGAGGATTTGCACACTGGTTACAGTTTAAAGATGTTCTGGTTATAGATGTTGTACCCTAGCTTGCAAAAAGATGTAAACACACGTACATACACAGTAGTGCTATCTACTTTGTCTTTGACGTTTTCTATCTGCAGTTGTGTAACCAGCTGAAAGGAAACTGTCCTGTAGCTGCAGTAGAGCTAAGGATATATTTTGTATTAGATTGTTTGAATATAGGGTTGTAAATGTAAACGTACTTGAATGTGAAAGGTATTTGCACATACCTTCGTGATGATTTTTTCTTTTTGTATTTCATAGATTAAATTGTTTTGCATGCATCCTACAAAACAAATAATGATGGAGAACAAATTAGAGGTTCATAAGGACAGGACACTGAAGGAAGCTGTGGAAATAGCTTACAAGGTATGCTATGCATAACAGAATAGTTTAATTGCTAGATATAACTTTTTCTGCTATTATGTATCTTCAGTTTTTAAATTTATAATGCTGTGGGAGTGTTTGAGGGGGGTTGGCTGGTTTTTTTGTTGTGGGTTGGTTTTGGGGGGTTGGTTTGGGGTTTTGAGGGGACAGCGTTCAGAGATGTTCTAGTTGGGGATTATTGACCAAGTTTTCTGTTAGTAGCCATCAGAGGATTTCTGACTGGAGTGATACTGCCTTTTAAAAGGGCAGACTATGTGATTTTCACATACACTTATTTTAAAATCAGATAGTGAGAGCTGCTGTTGGACTTACCATAGCCTCAGTAAGTTGAAAGGATTCTGAATGCTTATATTTGTATTGCAGTAAAAATGTTGTATTAGATATGTAATAAGAGAATTCTTCCAAGAAACTTCCTGCATAGCTAATGCAATAACATCAGTGGGCACCAAAGCATTTGTTGATCTCTGCCTTCCACAAACAGGTAGAAGTTGAAGACGTCTGTTCTTGCTTACCTACTTGTACTCTTTGGTTCTTGCCATATGTGTCTTTGGCTGGGAGAGTACCAGCAAGGCAGTTACAGATTTGGAATGTGTTAACATTTCCTTGAGATGCATGGAATGTAACTAGTAGTTATGACTTCCTCAGGCTTCTAAGATGCCATTTGGTATAACTGCTGGCAATGTATTCCTCTTAATATACTTCCAGGTTCTGAGTTCATGTGCTTATATACATACTTTTCAAACTTCCCTTTTCTCTGCATTTTGATGCAGGCTTCTTTTTTGATTTTGAAAGCCGTGCATCTATATTGCACGTGCATGTGTGTATATAATATATATGATGTATTCGTATGTCTTCTCTAAAACCAAACTGAAATTTGTGCATTCAAAGGATTCCTGGATGTACATGTACTGAGATACTTCTAGCTTACAGGGGAAAAACTAAACTCACAAATAGACCATTATTAAATGTTTTGGGGATTTTTTTTGTGTGTGCATGATTTAGCTAATGGATTTAGAAGAGGCTGTTCCTTTGGATTGCTGCCGTCTTGTCAAATATGATGAGTTTCATGACTACTTGGAACGATCTTATGAAGGAGAAGAGGATACGCCAATGGGTTTATTACTTGGAGGTGTCAAATCAACATACATGTTTGACTTACTGTTGGAAACAAGACGACCTGACCAAATTTTCCAGTGCTATAAACCTGGTGGTAAGACACGTAATTACATATGGGCAAGGATAGACTAAAATCATATATTGCATGATGACATGAAAATAAAAATTGTAAAACATGGAACTTCATTATGCTGTGTGAAGGAAGAAAAACTTTGTTGTACTAGATTTTATGAAGTCAGTACTCAGAACTACATACTGTGCTGTGTTGCCAACTTCTTTCTAATTGAAACTGTTCTAAGGTACACTAAAATTTGTCAAACTGCAATATTTTTGTCTCTGGCATTAACATTAATCTGGAAATGAAATTTTGAATTTGGACCACTTTTCAAATTCATTACTGTTTGCATGTATTTATGCAACCCCTTAATCAGTACATCAGACAAGCGTATGTGTGTTTTCTTTGCCTGTTGAATTCTCTTATATGTGGTTTTGTTTTCTTTTTTCTCTTCCCTACAGAGGTCATGGTAAAGGTTCATGTAGTTGACCTAAAGACTGAATCTGTTGCTCCTCCAATAAGTGTACGAGCTTATTTGAATCAAACAGTTTCAGAATTTAAACAGCTAATTTCAAAGGTAACTTACAGTCATTAAGGACTTGTATTACAGAGTTTTTATTCATTCTGACTGTGAAAATGTGTCATAGTTTAAATACATGAAATGAGAACCAGCACCTTTTGCAGTTCATACTGTGTGTCATGACCGGTAGGGTTAGGATGGTTGTTACAACTGAGCTTGTCTATCTGCTCACTGCTGCTAAAAGCAGCAATCTGCTTCATGCTTCCATCCAGAGTTCTACCTTGGCTTTTGCACAAGCTTAGCCACTGTCTGGCCGTATTGCTTACTAGCTTATCAGATAATAAGTTTTTTGGGGAAACCAAAGAGTTGGGTTCATGTTCTTCTGGGTTAGTAACTTGAACCACCTCACTGAGTATCCAGTCAGTTACTGGATACCATGCAAATGAATCAACATTTAACTTCCCCCATTGGCTTCAGTAACTGAAATTTAACATCCAAAACTGTCTACATTTTGCCTGCAAACCCTCCTTTTCATCCCGGCAGATGCTTGTTACTAAGGTGCAGATCGTTTCTTACATGGTCTTAAACCATGGGATGTTACTGCTTCTATTGAATGGGAAGACAGACATCTTACTCGGTCAGTTCTGTGTAAAAATAGTTCAGTGGTTGGTGTAATTTCGTAATATTTGTTATGAAACATGATTTCAGTAATTTGAATTCAGTCTAATTAAGAATTAAGGGAACAGTGTGCAAAACATGATGCTTGAGAAAATTTTTTCTTTTCAGTTGGTTCATACCCTAAGTAATAAGACCAATTCCTTATATTACTGGTCATTAACAATTTGCCAGTTCTCTGCAAAGCCAAGCCATTTTAGTGTACTGACCTTTTGGGAAAACTAACATTTGCTGTATATCAAAGGATGGAGGAAAGGAACTGGGACTGAACAGGTTTGGGAGGTTTTTCCCCCACATTGTCTTTTGCAATTTATAAGTCAATAAACAAACCTTTCCCTATGAATAATTTCAAAAAATAAAATACTTGTTCCAGTATTTGAAATTACGTGTAATGTGCATGTTACCTTACTGTCAATGTTTTATTTTAGGCTACACACCTGCCCGCTGAAACAATGCGGGTAGTATTAGAACGTTGCTACAATGACTTGCGTCTTCTGAATGTTTCCAGCAAAACACTGAAAGCTGAAGGCTTTTTTAGAAGCAACAAGGTACATGCTCTGGTTTTTAAATTGTTCATTTCATGTATTTGTAGAGTTCACTGGTGTGTTGTAAAAGGTATGGATATCTATATAGAATTTATAATGGATAACTGTCATGTATTTCACTGTGTACTGTGTGGGGTTTTTAACCAGCACATATTGTGGTGTTGATGAATACTATAGGCTATATATGAAACCAAGCGTACATAATAAGGTAGAGCAGATTCAGAATCAGACATCTGGTTGATACTCTGTGGTTCAAACAATGGTGAGGTTAACAACCTTACGATGAAGATTTTTAAGTCAACCCTTCTTAGGGCACAAAGGTTGGCACAGTACTATGAAACCTGCCTAATTTGTTTTCTAAACCTTCTGAACAGCTGCGCCTGTTCTCAGTATTAAAGTTCCTAAGAAACAAATGTCAAAACTAAGAGCAAGTTTTTCATGGGTTTGCCTTAAATTCAGTAATTTTTACTATGCAAATTACCCCTATTTTTCCAAAAAGATTTATGATAAATATTTCCAATAATAGTTGTGAAATGCATTCAGAAAAAGAGTAACTTGTTATTTATTTAAGTACTATCTGTAGCATTGCCCTTTTTACTACAGTAGTAATAGCACATCTTTCAGCACATTTTTCACATCCTCTGTCTGAAATTTAAGCTCAAGAACACGCTGTCCTCGATGAGGAAAGATTAGCGACGGCTTTGATGGCTTATAGCTGAGCAAAACAATGGCATTGACTTGTTACTCAGTTACTTCAAGGCCTTTGGCATTCACATTACTACAACACAGTGGCCTTTGACAAAGGGAAAAGACAAATTTGTTCCCTGTGTTCCAGTTTGTGCTATTGCTTACCCATGTCTACATTTTAAAGATTTCTTATTTGCAGTGCTATACTAGAAAATAAAGACGGACTGCCAGCTGTAGTTGTGGGGCTTGTTACTACCATAACTAGTGTTACTGCACAGGTGAATGGTACACATGAAGTGATACATAAATATGCGTCTGAACATAAAAGTATTTACTGCAGCTGGTCAGTCTGGTTACAGTTCACTCCGATCTTAACATGATTATGAAAATAAGGAAAAGTGAAATCATTATTAAACTATCTTTTTCTAAATGTATCTTTTTCTAAACGTCTTTTAGTCTCTCTTTTTCTAAACACGTATTTTATTTTTTTTTATAAAAGGTGATGTTTCTTAGTGATGGAATTTCTAATGTGTGCTCAGTCCTTTCTGTTTGCTATTTTTATTTTTATTTAAAATAACACTACATGATAAAATACTGTTATTTTATGTTCAGGTATTTATTGAAAGCTCAGAGTCTTTAGATCGTCATGTGGCGTATACAGATTCTCATTTGTGGAAACTTTTGGATCGTCATGCAAATACAATCAGACTATATGTTTCATTACCAGAGCAATCACCTGGATCTCAATTTAGACGAGCAGTTTATCAGAAGTCTAGTGGAGATTCAGGCAACTTGGATGAAGCCTGTGAAAGAGTAAAAGGATCTGTAGGTAATATGAAATCTGTAGAGGCAATCCTGGAAGAAAGCACCGAAAAGCTTAAAAGCTTGTCCCTGCAGCAGCAGCAGGAGGGGGATAATGGAGACAGCAGCAAAAGCACAGAAGCCAGTGATTTTGAAAACATTGAATCACCTTTAAATGAAGTAGACTCTTCAGCATCAACAGAAAACAGAGAACTTGAAAACCAAATTCAGATTTCCGATCCAGAAAATCTCCAGTCCGAGGAACGGTCAGATTCAGATGTAAATAACGACAGGAGTACAAGTTCAGTGGACAGTGATATCCTCAGCTCCAGTCATAGCAGTGATACTTTATGCAACGTGGACAATGCCCCACTTCCCTTGGCTAATGGACTTGATTCTCATAGTATCACAAGTAGTAGGCGATCAAAAGCAAATCAGGGGAAGAAAGAAACCTGGGACACAGCAGAAGAAGATTCTGGAACAGATAGTGAATACGATGAAAGTGGCAAGAGCAGAGGAGAAGCACAATATATGTACTTTAAGTCAGAACCCTACACTGCAGATGAAGGTTCGGGAGAAGGGCAAAAATGTATGTATTCTTTTTTTAAGTGCCTTAAAATAATACTACTTTTATTACTATTTAATTCATATGGTGTGTTAAAAAGTCTAATGACAGTATTGAAAAACTTAATTATATGTCAAATTAAAGCTAATGAAAGTACGAAGATAGGACGTGGTGTCATGTTCAGCAAAAATCTAGGCTAATTTTGATTTTTGTAATGAGTGATTACAGATTTAAACAGTGTCTTGCTTTTGGGTTTTTAAGAAAATAAAAAGCTACCTCTGATACATCCATTTCCTTATATTGAAAGTGTTTTCTGGAGAGTAAGCTGACTTGTCTTCCAGTGAAAGGAAAACAGTTGCATCTGATGATGATGATTCACCTGTTCCAGAATGCAGTTATTTACTGTGGTTCTCAGAGCAATAATTCTGTTGACGTTTAGATTAACAAGCCTGAAAACTCCTAGCCATTTGACTGTAAAGAAAACTCAAGAATACTTGATATTGATCATTTAATTCAGTAGACTGTTGGTTTTTCATGGACTGAAGTACAACAGGTACAATGAAGTGTATGGCTGACACGAAAATGTCTGAACAAGTTCAGTGTAAGAGCCTAAGGTAGTATATTAATTGTCAGAAAGATAAATCATTTAAACAATGATCAGTAGCTGCGTATGTTTTGTAATTAACAGAAGAATAATTAAAGTATAGCAGGATATAAGATAAATATTTTGAAAGGCAAAGGTTTTCCTGTCAATCAGAAATCCTAATGTAATAATAATAGATAAAGACTAAAATAAAACTTTTTTGCTGATTTTTTTGTTTGTTTCTTAGTTTTGTTTTGTGAGCAAACGTTTTCATTTTTAAAACCACAGAGAAGTTTAATTGCAGCTACTAAAGTTTTAATAAAATTACTCCTTTAGCATGGAAGGATCTTTCTTTGGGACTAACTTTGAACTACTTTAATTTCCCCCCACCCTTTTTTTTTTTTTTTTTTTAGAATTAGTTAGATGCAGGCATTATTATTTGTTTACAGTAATTTTTATGCTTTCATATGCTATATAAAAGATTATTCTGCGGGGAAGCTTTTATGTATTTTTAGTATGACAATATGAATGGGTTTATAATTCAGATAATTTATTTGTTCATTTAAATATTCTGAATAGCAATTTTTTTAATTCTAATGAGTCATGGCACAATATAATCATACTGCAGTTTGTAGTGTAGTCCAAACTGCATATATTAAGAAACACAATTTCTAAAGACAAACTATTCACTGTATTTTGCAGAATTTCACATTACTACAGTGGCTTTTCCTTGATTACAAAATTATTCCATGAAAAATTCTCTTAATCTATACTTGATCTTGCCATGTGATATCCTGTGGCCTTCCAGAACACAGAGTTAACCAACTTTTTAATCCTGAAAGCCAGGAGAGAAAAAAGCACATGGCAGCATGTGCTTGGCTAGCCCCAACTCAGAAGCACTTCTGTCTCTGCCTTGAGGCAGGTGAAACCTGTAGGGGGATTATCTGCAAACCTGCATCTGATTCTATTTGTTGTCTTACTGAATGGAGAAGACTACTTTGCTCCACTACTTCACTGATTGCAAAATAGGGCAGTTTGGAACTGCTGTGTCTTCCAGGATTATCTACCCATAAACACTTCAAATACAACAAAGCTTTTAAAGGTTACAGTAACACCCACAGATAAAATGTAAATGTGGCCATTAACTATAATTCTGACTTTGCAGTACTGTTTTGCTGCAAGTGATAACCGAATATATGGAAATAATACACTAGAGTGCTTTTTATTTGTAGTGTGGTGTTTCATGCTGGTTTTATCTTTATTTTTGCTTAGGGCTGATGGTGCATGTTGATAAAAGAATTACACTGTCGGCCTTCAAGCAACATTTGGAGCCTTTTGTTGGAGTTCCATCTTCTCACTTCAAAGTCTTTAGAGTCTACGCCAGCAATCAAGAGTTTGAGAGTGTTCGGCTGAATGAGACACTTTCGTCATTTTCTGACGACAATAAGGTTATTCAGAACTTATTTTGAATTATTAAAAAATATACTGGTAGAATATAGACAGACTTAAGAACATAATTTACAACTTGTTAACTTGTCAGGTGAAATCATTACATTGGTCTTGGTAGTGCATTACAAAATGTCATTTTGATTTTGATATCAGTTCTAAGAGATACTCCTTTTGCCTTCTAGATAACTATTAGACTTGGGAGAGCCCTTAAGAAGGGTGAATACAGAGTCAAAGTCTATCAACTTTTGGTAAATGAGCCAGAGGTAAGGTATTGAATATTTCAAGATTTTGATTAATGAAAATATTAATGTGTGCCTTGACCAAGATTTTTCTCTGAAATCTTGGGGGGGAAAAAAGAAAGTCCCCTTTTTCTCTGCATTTTCCTGCAAGTTCTTCTGGATTTAGAAAGGGAACTTGAGATTATTTCTGTTTATGCTGTTCCAAGTATGCAATTGGAATGTCATCTACAGTATCTTTCAAGTGTGTCTATTTCTGCAGTGTAAATGGAGGACAAAGGAAAATAATTTCTTCTTTGTTTTCCTTAAATGTCCAAAAGTCATGTAGAATTCTTTCTAAATAAGAAACTGGTTTTGCTCATGGTTGCAGTTTTCAGTAATACTGTACTGATATAATTTGTCTGCAATTGCACTGCAGACGGTGCTTATCAGAATGGTTAGCTGGATAATAGTCCTCTCTGCATAAGACAAGCCTGAAACAAAAATGTTGCTCTGGCAATAACGCAGCTCACTTGCTTGTTAACATCTTTTGGGACATGAGAAGTATAAAAGTGATTTCAGTATATGGATTGCAGTCTTTAAAAGTTGACTTTGCATGCACCTTAATTTCTGATTTTATTTTTTGGACCAAACTGCAGAATACATATTAATAATGGATAAGCATAAGAGACTGAAGCTGAACTGATAAAGCAGGGAATAAGATAAATTTAAAAGTAACTTCAAGTCACGGAGTTCTGCTCTGTCTGACCAATGAAAGCCAAGAAAGGGGCATTTTTATTATCATATGGCTTATTTAATTGAAAAGCTCTTTTCAGATTGTTTAGAATGTTAATATAATGGTAGCAATTAGTAATACAGACACAAGACGCTATTTCTGCAGTGGCATGCATTCAGAGTGTTTGAATGACCTGTCAAAGGGCTGCTGCTACACAAAATTAGTTAAACCTAATTTTAATCAATTCATTGCCAACCTTGTTTATGAAAAGCATTCTAATGGTCATTTTGCTAGGTGGATGGGACTGGTCACAAAACATGAATAGGAGGCAAATCTACTTTTTTCTGTTAAAAAAATTTGTCTTTAATCATTTTCTATTTATGTTCACAGCCATGCAAGTTTCTTCTAGATGCAGTTTTTGCTAAAGGAATGACTGTCCGACAGTCAAAAGAGGAGCTGCTTCCTCAGCTTCGAGAACAATGTGGCCTAGACTTGACAATTGACAGGTAAAGAGACTGCAATCCATTGAAGTTTCCTGATGAAATATTACTTTAAAATGTGGGTTGGTTTGGGTTTTGGTTTTTTGGTTTTTTTTTTTTTTAATACTTGTGGAGAAAGGAATTTATGAACAGAGCAGAAATAAGTTACTGTGGTCTTTGAATCAGATTGTGAATTCAAACATTAATTTAGCAATTCTTGGCTTTCATGTCACATAGAATGACATAGCGAATAATATTTACATAGAATTGCCTGTGTGCAACACGTCTACAGGTTTAGTTCTGAGAAGTTTTATTTTCTTTAAGGATACTTTTCTTCAGAAAGGAGAGCATTAAGTAAATCAGTTCACAAAAAAGCCACCTTCTCTCTAGATGCAGTACCAGTGTAGATCACTGCAGCAAACTGCCTCGTGCACTATCACAGCGTGTGTGTACAGCACCGATCCAGTACCGTCTTCCCTTTACCTATAATGGGTTATCTCATCAAGGCTGAAGTCTCTTTGGGGCCTTGATTCCGCATACTCTCTACTGTTGGTTACAAGTGATGTGGTTTTTTACTGTGGAATAGCTGACACACTGTATTCACTGGAATTAAGAAAAACCTGTAAGGTGTGGCAAACAAGCTGGTGGGGCCTTAACGTATGCCTAAAATCAGGCTGGAGCAAAACATTGGAAGACAACTGTTGGCCCTTTCCTGTTAAGTAAAGGAGTAGAAACCTAGATTTGGACCAGGTTTTTCTCCTTTCCTCACCATGACTGGGCCAAAGGATTTTTGGCTGCCGTGCTTGGGTTATGTTGTCTAGTGCCCTATAACTATGGGGCACATCACAAAATTTATGCCTGTTTTTGCGTGTGGAGAAACCACTACAATTAAAGTTTTGTACTCATGTTTAATCTCATTTTAGTTGTTTATACGTTTATTTATCTCCATATCTAAATAAAAGCTCATGCTTTTATATTGTGACCCAATTGATGCAGTAGAACTAAGTACATAAATCAGACACCAATCCTTTTCTAATCTTCCACCTCTCCCCTTCTTTCCCAGTTCCCACTCAAAAAAAAAAAAAAGAGAGGAGCAGCAAAATTGCATCAGAAGTGTTTGGGAATATTCTGTTTTCTCATCCTAAATAGGAAACTGTTTTCTTCCTCTAAATCCCTATACATTTCTTGAACTGAACAAGAACAACACAGGCTTGTTTTCCTTGTGTTTATGAATGATACAGCACTAAGAGCCAGTAGTGATACCTTGCTGTTAGGACTATTTCAGAACGTTAAAATCATTCCTGATAAACCTATCCAAACCTCACATAAATTAGTTGTATTTCAGTTTTGTCAGAAAATATTCAGTTTTGATCTCTGGCAGTGGTAAGTGTTTATGAGCAGATAAAAACTCAGTGTTTTCTTCGTAATGTATTTACAGGTTTCGCCTACGAAAGAAAACCTGGAAGAACCCAGGCACTGTGTTTCTGGATTATCATATCTATGAAGAAGATATCAATATTTCAAGCAATTGGGAGGTCTTCTTAGAAATACTTGATGGTAATGATATAGCGTCAAGAGAAAGTAAAGATAATGTTAGAGATTTTTTTTTTCCTTGGAGAACATTGGAAAATGTACTTTCTCTTTTTTCCTTTTTTTACAGACTATTACTGACATTTTAATAGCATTTTATTAGAAAAAAAATTAAAAATAATAAAGCTCTTCATGAAGCTAGAGGGGGATTGTGCAAGTGCAGATTTCTTATGGCTGCGATGTGCTAAAGGTCTAATAGCAGCATGGTTTTGTAGGTTTACTGGAAGCTTTTGGACATACTATAGTACTGTAGGCAGCTTTTTGAACATGTATGCTTTCATTGTACATAAAAACCATAGGAATGCCTGTATGTTATGCTTTTATTTGTGTGTAATTTTTGGACTAGTATTGGTGATGTTTGTAGTTAGCTGAAATATGTGTGTGTATATACACCTAATACATACATAATTAGTTTTTAAAGTTGGCACAGCTGTTCAATCATTTAGTAGTTTTCAGACAGGAGTGAAAAAACACCTTTTGTCATGAAGTGCTAAATTTTTGAACAGACCCTGTTCATCAAAAAAACTTTGGAATCAAATATTAGAGAGCAGATTGTTAAATACCATTAAAAATATGGCATTTCTTAAGCTATCCTTCGCATATACACTTAAAATTTTGATTCTGAATGCAAAAGCATAACTTAAGGGGAAAAAGTAGGCCGTGCTGTTTTTCCTTTAGATTAATAGATATTGCTTTCAATGGATAAATGAAGAATGTGAATTGCATTCATTTGGGAACTTTATTTACAAGCATACGTGGCTTAAGGATTCTCATTTAGCTGTTACTCCAGTATTTTGGCAGCTGTGTTTGATCCTGGTATTTTCAATTTTTAACAGAATTGTGCCAGTGCAAGTACCAAAATTTGAAATAAACCTGGGAGGTTCAGGAGGCCCACAGATTCCTATAGACACATTTATCAGCTCACACTTCGGTTAAAACTTTACAGTTTTAAATATTTTTGGATTAGTTTTAGATTAATTGCCGTACTCTTTCTGTAGCGAGTAGGTCTTGGATGTACTACTTTTTAGACCACTGCAGCTCACCTGGTTCACACACACGCCATATTATAGACTACAGGGCTTCCATGTATTCTGTAATATTTTGTATAACTGTCTAGCTCTGACCAAAAGGTGCTGCTTTAATCCAACTGTAGAAGATGCAGCTAGATCCCACTGTATTCAGTGAAAATTAAGTTGTATGTACCTGCTGCTACCACAGAGGTGGTTGAATGAATGTAAAGGCAACTACTTTAAGTCAGGGTTTGTAAGGCCTTCCACCATCACTGTTGCTTTCATCTTGTTCTTCAGCTAAGCGCTGAAGACGTTAGGAAAGTAAATAATGCAACTTAGAATAACTTACAGTTAAGTTTCTTAGCATAGCAGCTTTACATCACACTGTTGCAGACATTTAAATTAGTTATTCTCTGGTTCTGAAGAGAATTTATGTAATTGCTTCAGACTTGAAATAAATACCAAGAAGCATTAGGTGGCTGTATCTTCATTTTGAAAAATAGGTTAGTGTTGAAAGGTGGCACAAATGTAGTCATAGACAAGACTGTAGAAGGTATTTAGGGACAAACTTTAACAGTGGTGGTTTCATGCAAAACAAGCATGTAACGGTAGACATAAATGTTTAAGCCACAAGTTCTGCGTGCTAAATTACAAAATTATAGACTGATTTAAAATAAAAATAAAATCAGCCCTTTGATATCACTTCTGTTTATCTGATTGTAACATTAACAGTATTACCCTGTCAACAAGAGAAAGCTCTGTTACCTGAAACAGATACAAAAAAGCTGGAGGCAGTACATACTAGAACTCTTTGTGGTAGGTATAAAGCAGGCTTTAATAAAAGTGTGTATTTAGTGTGTGAAATCTAGAAGTCAAATGTGGAAAGCTTATTTTGGTAAAGAAAGTGAAGTTGCATTAATAAATACCAGACTGCTGAGGAAGGCCTCATGCAAATGCAAGATCTGGAGGCCAGCCTCTGATTAGGTGGATAGATAGTGTGTGTATAACCAAGCTCGGTATGATGGAAAAATGCACCCAAAAGAAGAATAAATGGCATGGCTTTTAAGAGATGCTGCCTATAAAAAATTCCTTCAAATGAGTTGATAACAAAGAAAAGTTCAACTAAGTCCTAGTCCCCCCCTGCCCTGTCCCCCCCCCCCCCCCCCCCTTTTTTTTTTTTTTTTTGTGGACTACTTACAGCACACTTACTGGGTTAGTTTGTGTATGTATATGTAGTGCAGCCTTCTGTATTTGAGTATGCTTCTGCTATGGAAAACCCCTAATTTTAAGTAGGATGTTTTGTGATGTTAATATAAGAAATTTCTCTTTCTCTCCTAGGAGTAGAAAAGATGAAATCCATGTCACAACTTGCTGTTTTATCAAGACGATGGAGGCCATCAGAGATGAAACTAGATTCTTTCCAGGAAGTAGTACTAGAAAGCAGCAGTGTTGAAGAATTAAGAGAGAAGGTAAAATGTGTAACATGATGCAAGTTTCTTGTGGTATCATAGAGCCTTATTTATGTCCTTACTTGGGAAGCACAGATGTCATACCTTCAAAAATCTTGTTGCATGGTGATTATTTTTTTTTCCTGGGAACTGAGAACCTGTCCCATCCTGTTACCAAAGCCATATGAATTATCAGCTTTACTTCTAAGTTTCATATAATGGTCTGGTATCAAAGTATTCAGGTCAATGCCTGAAAAAAAAAAACAAAAAACAAAACAAAAACCCCAACAACAAGAAGATGGCTATATCTTGAAGTTTAAGCAGCACAATATTATCTGTGTCCCTTATCCTTGAAAAACACATGTGAAAGAAAAGCTAAACTATTGTCACTTTAGTTTTTTAAGCTAGTATTTTGGCATTCCAAAACACCAAACCTTTCAGCCTCTTCATACTTGAATTTGAGAGCTGTTGCTCGGGGACAGTGTAACTGTACCAAGTAATTGAACTATATTTTGGTTGGAAAGAAATATGGCTTTGGTATGTTTTTATCTTTAAGGCCAGAACCCTCGAACAGATAAGCACACTTGTGCCATCCTAGCAGAAATCTAGAGTAGATGTCTCATATTGAGACTGTTTTATTAATCCAGTATATCACAGGGGGTTCCACTCTTAGAGAAATAGTTAGTTATATGTGGCAATACCCAGATGTAAGAAGGCCACTTTGGATGTTGAGGCCAGCAAAAATCCTAGTATCAGTGAAGTCTGCCAAAGTATTACCTTACTAAAACAGTTGGCATTTGTACGTTAGGGGTTAGTTCATAGGCTGGAAAGAGGAACGTTGTTCAGCTACCATAGAATGCAACAGCCTTGGATTTGCGTCTACACAGATTAAGCTATGGACTGGCTTCTTGTATTCTTCAGGTAGAAATAGTTATGACTACAGATTCTTGCATGCAGTCTTCAAGATTGCCTCTTTGCTTGTATCTGAAGAAAGAGTTGACTGCTCTTGGCTTTTTGTCTTAAGAATTGATGTGCAGGGAGCAATTTCAGCAGCACTCTCTCTGAGAGGCCTTAGTCTTTTTACTCCCACCAGTAATGAGAGAAATTTGAATTTGACACATCTGTAGTAATAGATGTGTTCAGCCAGCTCACCTCTTTAAGACAAATTTTATTAGCAGAGTGTAGGGCTAATACATTTCAGAATTTGTCTGGCTTTTGTCAGTATTGTTTATTTATCCTAGTTTCCTAAGGAAATGGGATAACTGGCTGTTATTCTCACCATGAGTTTAATTTGAACGTATCTGTTTTAACGGCAGATTTGAAAGAGGCGAGAATTTTAGAGAGGAAATCTCTTCAAGTTTGGGGAAAATAAGCAGCCAGAGATAAACACAAATCAAAGTTAGTGTCTGCATTGCCGTGGAGACGACACTGCAGCCTGCACTTGAGTTAAGGGCGAGGCAGTGATGAACCTGTCTGTGAGACTGCTCAGTGGAGGAAGAGCTCCACCAAGGCTGTGCCAGGGACAGCCGGGTGATGCTGTGATGGGTGCTGGGACTGGACAGCAGCAGCAGGGGACAGGGGACGGATGATGCACTCTGTGTGCCGGGGAGGTGCACGGCAGGGGCGGTTGCAAGGGGGAAGAGCAGCCAGTGGTGCTTGCTGGGGAATTGTGGGGTTGTTACGGTAGGAAGTGCAGGTGTGTATGGAGTTGGGGTTTAGTTGTGCATATTTTATGGCTTTGCCTGCTCACAGGTTGACTGGATAATAGCTTTCATTTCATACAGGGAAACTGCTGAGGGCTAACTGATGGACCTGAAGGTTTAATGTGAGGCAGGTGGTCTCTTTGTATCTTGGAACTCGGATGTTATTAATTAATTGTTTCTATTAACTTTTATCTGCCACCCCTTCACTGTTAAACGTGATGAAACACCGTCACAGCCAGCATCATTTGTGACACGCTAGTAACTTAGGAATGTAAAAAATTTGTACCTTGTCACTGTAATTTTGTACTAATACTTGGGATCGTTGTAGGACTTTCGAATATTTTAATTGACTTCTAGATTTGGCAGGTCTATTGACTTTATGTAGACACTGCGTAATGTTGTTGTGGAATAGTATTAAATCCACCATTTTTCTTCACTTTACAGCTGAGTGAAATAAGTGGAATACCCTTAGAAAACATAGAATTTGCAAAGGTAAGTAAGATTTTGTCTATTTTTACTTTTTAATGGCATGGATGTGTGATTATGAGTTATTTTATTCACTAAGTGATTGCTTCTTCTCAGGGTAGAGGAACGTTTCCATGTGACATTTCTATACTAGAGATTCACCAAGACTTGGACTGGAATCCTAAAGTATCTACATTGAATGTCTGGCCTCTGTACATTTGTGATGATGGTGCAGTAATATTTTATAGGTATGTATTTTATTAGAGTATAATAAACCATGCAAAAATCTGTGTCTAAGATTTGAGGGGTGATGTAATCAACAGAAGCATAAAAAATACTCTTACGTTGTCTTAAAGGAGAGTTTAAAACATTGAGCTGAAATGTTCGTGCTCCTCAGATTCCTAAAAACCTGAATATTAATTATGTTTATTGTTTAAGAAAACAAACACTGCACCCTTTTTTACTCAATCCTCCCTGCCAAACCATTGAAAACAATGCTGAATGCAAAACTAGTTGCTATGCTTGAGTGTATATGTGGATTTAATGTCTGAAAATAGAACCATATCCCTTGTGGAGTCTGTGAGAGTCTTGCCATAGGTTTTAGAGAGCAAGGGTTCTATTTTCTGAGTTTATTTCTTCGAGAAATTAGTATGGCTCCTTTGGAAAAAACGATGTTACGATAAAAACTTTGTTAACGTGAAAAATGTTCATCAGCTGGCAGCAGTAGCCCAAAGGCAGTATTTTGAGGACTAGGAGCTTGAATATTGTCATTTCTGCTAAACTTGGTGGGTGGGGCAATCTCATGAACACATTGCTCCTACAGTATTTTTCATAATTATATGTGAGTCTGGGGGAAACAGCTGGTTGGTAACATGCTGGCCTTGAAGAAAATAATTTGGGTGAGCAGCTGGTAGTTTCTAGTAGGGGCTGGCTGATGCGCTGCTTCCAGTTGTTGTCACTGTGACTGAATAAAGAGCAGAGTTGTAGTTGTCTATAAAGAACAGGAGTTACCAGGTAGATGGAGGAGTATAGGATTGTTTCTTGCTGCTTTCCCCTGGGTCTGCTGTCAGTTAGAATGCTGAATGTCTCCGTTAGAAAAGCAGGTTTAGGCAGATTGTTAGTTTCTGGAGAAGAAAATAATCTGTAAGGAGTATTATGCTTAGTTGTATTTTTTACTAAGTTGCTCCGAGTGAAAAAATTACAGAAATCTAATTATGGTTATTGTATTAATCTGAATTTTCACATATATTTACATTTCAGGGATAGAACTGAAGAGTTAATGGAATTAACAGATGAGCAGAGAAATGAACTGATGAAAAAAGAAAGCAGCAGACTCCAGAAAACTGGACACCGGGTAACCTACTCTCCTCGTAAAGAAAAAGCACTAAAAATCTATCTGGATGGAGCACCAAATAAAGATTTGACTCAAGACTGATACTTGCTATAGCATTTTCCCTGGGGAATTTTTTTGTTTAAAATAAAAAGGTTCACTACTACTGTGTAGTGCCATTACGGCAGGACATTCATTAGGTGTAAAGCGCTGACACCAGCACTGATTGGGCTGTGTTACCAATCAGAAGCGCAGTGTCCCATTGGGTCACTGCTTGACTTGGAATCATGTTGTGCACTATAGTCAAATGTACTGTAAAGCTAAAAGGGATGTGCAAATAAAAGATTAGAACTCAAAAGTGGGCGGGGAGGGAAATGAGTGGAAATTTTTGAGGACAGTGTGCACATAGTAGCTAGTGAAACTAGCCTCAAACAGGATACTCATAGCTTAATAATAAAAGCTGTGCAAAGGCCATGAAAGAATCCTTTTTTCTGTTTGTTTCACTGATACACGCATTACCTCATCAGAGAGTCTGAAGTAAATGTTAACACATTGGTTCTAGAAAAGCAGCAGAAAAGGGTCGAAGATGAAATGGAAGTGCTGCAAGTGTAAGATTTTAGAATATTCTTCCATAAAACAGGTAGTCTGAGAGGTGTCTGCAGAAAGCTGCCAGCAGGTGGTGGTTCATTTTGCAGAAGTGCTGTTGTAAGGTAAACTGGTTTTTAATAGGTTATGGAAGCCAATGAGCAGCTCTATTATATTGCGTTCAACGTGTAAATAAAATTTGCCCTATCCATTTAACAGAACTGCAGTTCAGCTATTTACCATGGTATTTCTTTTCACATATCAACATTCATTGTGTACATTTGGAAGTATAGTTGCCTATTTAAATTTGTATTCATTTTATGTTTGACAATGCTGGGTACTTTAGGGTTGTATTTCCCCTTGTTAATGAAGTTTTTGTTTTGTTCAGCTACTTTTTGTACATTTTGTTTTTGAGACTATTACAAGTTTGCATCTTCTCCACCCACTGAAAGTCATTTTTCCCAGAGTTGATTCTGTAGCTGTATGTAGTCAAATACTGGGGCAACCTCTAACACCTCAACATACAAACTTGGTAGTTCAGGTTGTGGTGCAAAGACTGATGCAGTCAACATGATTTCATTGCAAAGCCTAGGAACAGCAATTTTTTGCTTTGGTCCATAAAGATCAATAGAGAACAATTCTGCGTAGTTTTTGGAAAACCACCTAATTTATAACAATCAAAAGATTTTGGTAAACTTTTTCATGCCAGATGCTGTTTACAACAATGAACATGCCAATAAAACATTTGTTCATTCTGTTGTGTTATTTTAATCATTAAATGCTGTGGTTCTTATTTGAAAAATTATGGAATTATTTCATGGAAATACAGATTTTCCCAAGGCAATGTCAGAATTGTAAGGCTGTATGCATATATGTGTGCATATGCACACCTCCCCCTGCCCCCTGCGTGTACACAGTATTACAGGAAGTGTTTTATAGCCTGTCTGCTGCTCCTCTTCACTTTTATTCACACCAAATTTTTCTTCGAGTTTCCTTTTCCAGAATTAGTTCCTCACCACTGAAACTTCTAAGCCCCAGATATGTATGGCAGCCAAGTTCTGCTCCAGAGAGGAAAAAGGATTTTCAATAACTGAATGTTCAGTTCTTCCTTGCATGCTGACCCACAGCAGCCTAAAAATCCTGAGGAATCTGGCAGCTTGAGAACCAGGCACTGTGCAGAGGAATTCCCTCATTCTTCCCCTTCTGTTTGACCTGTGTCACCTCTTGTCCAACATAGATGAGGTGGAAGCAGGAGCAAAGGAAGCATAGAGTGAGTACCATCCAGTAGGTACTACTTCATTAAACTACCATTTACATATGTTTATAGACTGCTAAAGGATCCTTGGAGGTTTTGGAAGAGAGAAAAGATTTAACTATGAAATGGGTCATGAATTTTCTTCAAACTCAGACACTGGAGAGGCAAAATGTAGAGATGGAATAAAGTACGGTTAAGAAAAGAATTCCAAATACTCCTTGCTTAATCTCTAGCCCTATTTGGGAAACTTCTGTTGAGAACTTCTTTGAAGAAGCTAATTTTAAATCTGTAAGGCTTGGCAGAAGGACTAACTGGCATCCTTATAAAGATTTCCTGTCCAGTGGTACACTTCCTACTGTACAAGTACTGGAATATATTCTGAGTTGTTCTGGGAGACATTTGTCAGCATCTGCTTTACATTCTCATCATTTCAAACATTTTTGAGTTTGACCATGGGCTTTTTAAAGAAACAAAAAGCCCTGAGTTTCTAATTTGCTTAGTTCAGCAGAGAACTTGCTGAACTTCTGATGAATAATAACACTTTAAGGAATGGAGGCATCAAGAAACTTGAAGGGAGAATAATGCTATCCTTAAGGAGGGCGGTATTTACGGACAATTATTGCTCTTACGAAGTATTTTTTTTAACAGGAAAATTGCAATATTTAATTCCTTCTCTTTGTATAGATGGGCTGTCTCTAAAGCACAGTAATTTTACTAGGGATAGAAAGGAAAGGTAAATTCAGTGTGAGAGCATGTGTATGTGTGCATGTGTCAGTGTGAGAATTGGTGGTAGAAATGAATCCTTAAAGTCAGTCTGTTCTGATGAAATACCCTTCCTGTTCATAATGAAAATGGTTATTAACATTAATTCTGGTACTCAAGGGATTTGTTGAAAAGCTTTCATAGACCAAAAGTGGTGAAAGACTTGCAAGCCAGTAGCACAGTCTTGTAGCTGCTCTTGTTATTGGTGCTCTACTGTTCCAAATTGGACATAAGCAGTAGGGATTATTTGGGAAGAAAGCTCCATGAAAAGTTACTTGGCTGGAGCCTCATGTCATCTTTTACTATGTGCAGTAACTGATGGTGAAATCTATACCCCAAAAAAACATTAATAGTGGAAGAGACATTGCAGCAAACTGTTGAGACAGCTGGGAGCCAGGAAGTTTGATAGATTTTACTCTTGGCTTGCTATTGATTTCTTAAATCAGTGACAAGATGGTAATGATAATCACATTTTGTAACACAGATTTATGCCTATGAAGTGTATTAAAAGCACAAACTGTTTATCAGAGAATTTTCTCTGGATGTAAGAGAATCAAGTAGAAGCTCAAGTCTCCAAATGCAAGAAGCTATTTAGGTTGTCTTACTGCTAAACTGAAGTAATGAATTTATGTTCACTGCGTCTCTCAAAAAGGGTAGGTGATGATGGAGTATAGTCAACAGATCCCTTAATTGACATTACCTAAGAAGGTGTGTTCATGTAGTGCAGAATGCTGCCATATATGTGGCACTGTATTTAGCTCTAGCTTACGCATAGCCTTCTAACTGCAGCTGCACTGTTCTCCTATATATTGATACTTTATCCATGTACAATAGGGAATCTGTATTCTTTGTATTTAGCCCAGTTAGCTGTTTGTTCTGCCTTTTTAAATAGTACACTTTGTCCTTGAGAGAGAGAGAGAGAGCCCTGAACAGTCAGGTTGAAAGTTCCTATATAGAAGCCAATGCATTATATGGCTATAAGTATGTACACGCTATTTGTTATTTATATGGAAAATGTTGTAGGCTTTTTTTGATAGTATGCCCCTTATGTAGTGGGGGAGGCCAACACCATTGTATATGAAAGTATAAAACTCAAGGGATACTCTAGCTATGGAACGCCAGTTCTTAAGTTACGCTGAAGGCTGCTGCAGGACAGAGAGCATCCATTGTACACAGCTGGAAAGAAGCTCTGGGTATATTAATCTAAAAAGGTAAGCATCCTTTCTCTTTTCTCTCCTTCCACAACGTGTGTGTGGTGGGGGGGACATGACACCCAGAATCTGTATGTTGCAGCTTCACTGGTCATATTTTCTAAAAAAAAAATAAAAAATTGCTTAAAATCAATGACTAAAACAGTCCAAAGTAGATGGTTCTTACCCTAGAAAAATAAATGATTCTAAACATACATAGTCAAAAGTCACTTCTACAGTCACTAATAACTTCAGATTATTTATGCTTATGTGTATTTTTTAATGAGTACAAGTACTGGTAAGTTTATTTCTAATGTACAAGGGGAAAGTACTAATCCAGAAGAAACACTGATATATTTCTTATTTACCTTTGACAGAAGGTTTGGTCCAAGGATTGAATGAATTCAACAACAATTTGAACATGCAGGTTTGGTGCACAGAAAAGGATGCTCATCAAAGACATTGTTTATTGCACTTCTATCCAGCAGTGTGTGTTTAGGGTTTATATAAGCAAGACACTAGACAAAAATTTCTAGAAATAACTAACTAAACTGTCTGGTGTTTGGACTTTAAATTTCATCTCCCAAAAACAGGTCACGAGCTGAGTCAGGCTCAGGCTTCAAACCTGCTTGGTCCTCCAGACTTTCTAATTCTTTACGCACTTCCTGAATGACACTGCTTTCTTCGTAATCAGAAAGAATATCTCTGGGTATCAAGCTGAGAAATGGCATCTCATCCATGGTTAAGGGATCTTCTTTTTCATTATTCCTGGTTTTGTTGGCAAACAGTTCACACACAGATGTAGTGCTGTGGCTGTTGGAAAAAGAGAGGCATCTGGTCATATAATGCATCTTTTCATGTTCTTTTGCTAGTTCCTTAATAAAAGTCTTCATTTTTGCCCCACATGAAAGCATGTTAAATGCATAATACTGTCATATACTGTAGCTGACTTCATAAACATCTGGTTTTTACATGCTTGACAGCTGGACAGTTAAAGATGAGATTTCCACATACAGAGCTAGAATAAAGATTCCAGTAACAAAAACTGTTTTGATACTGGGACACAAGATGGCAGTGGACATCAGCACAATCTGGCACTTCTACCTACACGCAATGGTGATGACTAGTCCCTTCTGTTCATGTCATAATACCAAGAAACATGATACTCCAGCTTAAAAGGAATGCAGGAAAAAATGTCGCTTGCTATCAAGCGGTAGAGTTGAGAAAACTGAGCATTATATATATTTGGTTCTAAACAGGATAGTGTAATAGCTGTATTTGCTGCTGTCTGTCTTGAAAAGTAGCTTCAGCTGCCTGCAAACAAACATCCCACATTTGTTGTAGGAACTTTAGAAGACAACACGGATGATTTATGTTTGTTGACAAGAAGCAGGGGAATAGAACTTGATCACGGTGCATCCGCTACCTCTTTGCACTGCATGGGACAGAACAGGGCTACAGTTTCTGACAGAGTGCAAGGTGACCACTGCTTGTGCTGGGCACCACAACTGCTTAAAGCTGCAGCCTCGTTCACTGGAAACAAAGCGTAAATGAACTAAAGATGTTCCTGAAGCTTATTTTGTGTACATTTTAAATTTTTGCATGTTTTGCTTTCTAGGAGTTCTAAGACTTCCACTTGTGGGCAAACCATCCCCATATTCTCTAGGATATAATCTGATAGTTTCAGTGTTTATCACTCACTAGTAACATATAGCCAAAGGCCATTTCAAGCAGAGGTGGGCTGTTTCTTTTAATAAAAAATGTTATCTGAACCTTCAAATTCACCACGTAAATTCACAGAAGCACCTTTATCTTACTGTCCGTGCAAGTCATGGGCAGGTGGTGTGCACAATATTACTGTATCTGTGATAACTGTAAACAGACAAGTAATTCTTGTGACTATAGCTGGACAGTTCAGTTATATTCACACCCTAATTCATTTCTGTGTTTCTATATCCTCATCTGAAATGTTTTCCTCCTTACTAGACATGACATTTGCTGACGTACCTTCCCCGAGGTTAATGGTACTTGCACATTAACTAAAATCTTGGTGCTGAAAGGATGGGATCAACTGTGCTTGCTTCCTTAGATCACATTTATGAAACAGAATGTTATCCAATTACTTTTCATGCATGAAAAAAATGTATAAACAGAGTTGGACACAGAAAAAGAGAGAAATATAATCTACATCTCTATCACAGCTATGCTGTTTCGTTGAAAGTCAATGAAAATTGTAGTGTAGGAACAAACTTAGAGAGCTTATTTCATAAATAAACATGTAGGTTTTCTAAAAGTGCTTTTAGTGCAAAACTGAAATGATTTCAGTTTCTCCCAAAGAAATTGCTGATAATGCAAATAACTGTCCTTTAAAGAATGATTAAAGGCATGATATATTAAAAGTTTTCGCTTCTAGCAGAAAATATGGAGTCAGCCCACTTCCTATTCCGTGAAGCTCGATACTAAAGAAGTCTGCACAGTATGAAGTGTTTCAAGTCTGAACAGTGGATCTGAAGTCAGCAGTAAGGAAACTAGCTTCTCAGGTTAGTTTGAAACTGAAGGAAAGTGGAAGCAAAGATACCTTTCTTCTTGTGATAGAAGTAACCTTCTGTAAAGCTGATCAGTAGTACAGGAACATGCCTGTTTATACTTCCTGCATGTATTAAAATGTCTTTAATATGTCTTACGTATGAAAGCAAGCAAAATGCCTAACAGGAGCCCAATCTAACATAGAAAGTCAGTGGACAAGAGCTGTATGTAAAGAATTAAATTGGAATGTTACATCTCAACAGCTGTTAGTACTTTCTGATTGACTAAAAAGCAGTACCAGCCTGATACACAAACTCAATTCACACTGGATTAAGGTGTTGTGAAACTCAATTAGGCTTATCTGTTTGGGACAAAGCAGTAAGTTTGAGAAAGGTTCAATGCTACCAATGAGAAAAGCTGTCAAAACACTTTATAGTGCAGAAGAATCTGCAAGCGCTGTATCCATTTACCACAGAAAGAGAGCCCTCAAAAATTGCAAATCATTTGCTTGCCCAGGTTTGAACTTTACCTCTGAGGTTGGCAGATCAAGCCACTTGCACATGGGCATCGCTCAAGCACTCCATCAGGTTCCAGTTCCCAGGTGATCAGGTTGAGAAGTCTGTTTGAAGGATCATGGCAGGGTTCACCTTCTTCAGGTAAGGGAGTGCACACAGGAAACAGTAGTTCTGCATGCCAGAGTAAATTAATTTTATGAGTTGTTGTTAACTGTCTGCTAAACTGAGATGGCCTAATCTTTCAGTCTACATGCCAGATATAAAAAGACAGACTTGATCTCTTTTTAAGTCCCCTTACATATTAGGGAGCCGTAACTTAAATGTTCTTTCCACTAGGTGGGAGTAAGACATTTGAAGTTTATGCTTAATGAGCAAGATCAACTCCTGCTTCTTCATGAAGAGACTACTGTCAATACAGTAGTACTGCACAACTCCATCCCTTGGAGATTTGAAAAACTCTTCTGAAACCAAGAAAACTAACATTACAGTGAATCCTTTCCAACGCATAGCATTAATGGTTTAAAATCCGAATAGAGAAATATCTCTGTATTTTAGAACTCTGTTATTTTTCTTATTCTATTTCTTTGCAGAGGTCACAAATACAGAGCAATTGTTCAGAGACTAAATAACGAGGTTACAAGAACTACTCAGCCATTTAATTTCTTACAGTAATTCTACAATAGGTAAAGCTGTCTGATGGCATTTGGGGCTTGGCACCCTTGTTTCTGCACAGGGGTGAATTTCAACTTGTGTAAGAAATTATTTATAAGGATACGTCGTTTCCTGATGCTAGTAACTCATAGTGTCAGTCTTGAATTCAGCTCTTACAGACATTCCTATCAAACCTCCTTTCTTCCTCTTGTCTTCATTCACCTCTTTTTTTGTGGTAGGGCAGAATAAAATATGTGAAGAGTTCAGAATTTAAGTTTTTAGAACAGGCTTGGTCAAAATATTTATATGTGTGTGTATATACAAAGAGACACACATATGCTTTAACATATACGACTTACCAGTTCCTAATTCTAAAACATTGTATGTTAAGCAGCGAATGCTCCATAGTTTACTATAATTTTATATCCATGTAAAGACACTCTAATCTTTATTAGGACAACCTTTTGCAATACTATGGTGATGGAGGAAGACCTGAAAAACCCTAAAGCACTGCTAAAGCAGGCAACTGTAGAGAATAAAAATCCATTGCTGTTAACCAACAGCTGTATTTAAAGTTTTAATAATAATGTTCCATCAATTTCAGTCAATATTCTTATCTTTTGTATTGTTCCTTCCTGAGCTACAGGTTTGTAGTAAATTTCATTTCAAGCCAAGCACTAACTTATACTCAAATTAGTGTGAATGTCTTATGCAGCTGAAATAATAATCATGAAGACACAGCTTGTTTGGATCCCATAGGAAATCAGGGCTACAGAAGCAGCATTACCTTCACAGTAGACTAGCCTAGTGCGATTATCACTAATGGATGCATACTACTGATTTACTCATCTCTGCAGCATAAGCAGAGATTCAAAGTCCTGCATGGTAAAAGTAACAGGCATTTATTAAAAGTGCTCTTTCTGTCTCATTTCGGAATCTGAGTACAAATAAATCTCTGACAGAGCTTGGTAAAACCTGTCAATGCTTTAAGCAGAAACCTGATGAAGAGGAAAATAAAACTGCTCTAACCAAAACTTGCTGAAACCAAACTTCGGTAACATCAAAGGTCCACTGTGTAATGCTCAAAACCTGTAAATGGTTTAGGCATGCTTAAAATTGACAGGGAAAAGCTGAGCAGACCCACTTGCCTTTAAATGTTGTTTGAGCTTTCTCCTTTGTTTTCCTGAAATGCCCTAGTAGCCTGATCCACCAGCAGGCTGGCAGCAAAACAGGGAGCCCAACTATCAGTGAAGGTACAAGGTCACTTCTTGCTCATAGCAAGAGCCAGAAAAAAGCTGTCTAGAGGAGTATCTACCTGGTGTAGAGAGATGGTTGGAATTGTATCCTGTTGCTACACAATTAAGGTGAACTATGATAAAAGCAGGGAGGAACTAGTGGGTAGAAAACAGTAGAAAAAAGCTGGGCCCTCACCAGGCAGGATTTAGGACTGATTTCAGGTCTGATACCTTCTCCTCCTCTCCTCCCTTCTGTAAATCAAGTTTCACATTCCCACGTGGACTGACAACATAAATCTGGCACATCATTTCTTTATGGATCTTGGCTGTTGGGTCAGTATTGCATAGCATAGTGCCCTGGAGGGCTCAAAAAAACCCTCCAAGTATGAAATGTATCTGCAGTCTGATTCTGATGGTCTGCTTGCTGATATGAAGGAAAAGCCACTTTCAGTAATCTCATTAATTTATTTTGTACATTTTTAATTCTCTTATTTTTGCTCTATTGGGTGAAAATTTGTCAGAGCTCTGCCACTTTTATATGTCTGAGACTCCTTTAGAAACAGTTTATTTTTATGCTTCTCATGCTGGTCTCATCTCTAGCTTTTCTTGTACCATTGTGCAGCCCACCAGAATGTTTCTCACTCCTCATTCTGTTGAAGTTTTATAATGAAGTTAATACAGTGCACTCCACAGGCCAAGGGAGAATGACCTATTGATACTGTAGAGATTTAACCACTTCACCTGGGCAAAAGAGCTCAAGATTAACACTCCTGTATTATAAAATGAACAGGATAAAAAGCAAAACCTCTGTACCTTTCTGAAAAGCACAGCACATTCCAGGGTTGCAGTCATGTTGGTTCTCACAAATGGTGCCATTCTCTCCTTTTGAAGTGGATTTCCTGCACTCGCCCCAAACGCAAAGCTGGTCTCCACAGCATTCAACATCCCGTGAGCAATGCTTGCAAATGGAAAAAGCACATGACAAAACTGTCACCCTAGCACTAATCACATATATCAACAGATGGCTAAACACAGAATTAGACCTTGGTCCTGAAGACAACTGCATAGATGTGCTTTAAATATATGCATGTCATATTCCCACTTTTTTAACAGAACTGCTTAGGTTCTCAACTTCAAGCATACATATTTGCCAGGCGGGAACCTCCACAGCAGAGTAACAGCACTCCTTCTATACTATTATACTTTCAATCTTACAAAACCTGAATTCTTATTTTAGCATTTACATCAAAACTGATCAGCAGCCAGACATCCTACAGTGTAATATGGTTTTCAAGGAAGCCTTTTGCAATCAAGGAAAAAAAGAATTAATAAATGAAACATTATCAATAGAAAATGTTACTGATTTTTTCCCATTGTTAAATGCATTCAGGAATTTACAAATTGTTCAGAAGGACTGCTTTCAAAGAGCAAAGCAAAAAAATCTTACTAAAATTCAATTTTTAGCTGTATTAAGAACCAGACCTCATTTGTAACCAAGAATCTTTGAAAAAAAATCTGAAAAAAAATTCTCTGCAAATCAGAAATGCAACCCTCTAGCTAAAGATAGCTTTGTATGACAATTGACCCAGTGTTTCAACTATACATGCCTAAAAAATCAACCTAATAAAAGGGGTGTGTCACTTTGTTTCTTTTTTTAGGTAGTTTGATTAGCATCTTAAAGATGCCTTGGAGGTCAGCATTCTAACAGCTTTCTTCTGCCTGTGTAAAGCCCTGTCTAGGCAGCCATACAAAATCAGAATTTCTTTTCCATTGGATCCCACAGGAAGTGCTTAACACAGGGCAAGAAGTAGGACTATGGTAGCACTATTAAGACCTGCTAATTAAAAAGAAAAATTTTTTTTAATTGTGAGGGTTCTATGTCAGGGAATTGATCCCACCATCTTCAGTCTGAGCTCACTTTACAACAGGAATGTAGCTAGGACCTAATTTTTACTTTATTTATCCTACAAATGTTATACTGAGGACTCCAAAGGGGAGGGGTAGGTATTAGGTCATCCCAATCTTGATTTTTAATTATTCCATGTTAACATGAAAAATTATCAGTTTAACATTTTCTAAAATATGAAGAATAAGCTTTCTTAATGACAGTTGAGCATACATTCAGGACTTGAGTTTAAGCAAGCATTCAGTCCACTGAAGTCAATAGAGCTCCCTGAAGTTATCAAAGTAAGTATTTAAAATTTCAGGAACAGCCTGGTGCTTTTAGAGGATAATAATCCTATTGATTACATGACTTTACAGCAAGGTTTGCTTGCTTGTAGACTTAACTGTCTGGCATTTTTCAACAGACTGCTCTTAAACTGGATTTTCACCACAGAAAAAGCCTGAACTTCTCAGGCACCTGTCACCTACAGAAGATAATCTAACCATAACTACTACCAAGAACATTTATCCTTTACCTCAAAAGACAGGAATTTACTGCTTCCTGAGGTTCACAGATTTAAATAATGTAAATTATCCATGTAAGAGGATCATTTACAGTAACAGTTGCATTACAGCATTGTACAAGTTGTCAATGAAGGGAAGAGCACAGGCTGCTGCAATTCTCTGTGTGAATCAAGAGCTGGAAATGACCAACTGTCAGCTGAGCCTTAGGAGCTGGCACGATATTTCCTCTTTGCCCATTCCACTGCCAACCTACAATGTGTTAGTTTACACTGTCCTTAGGCCACCCAGCAAGTCAAGCCTGAGTCAGGAGGAGTGGAGTACACGTTTTAAAGCATATGAGAACAGAAACCTTAAAACCTAGTTAACAGGCAGAAAAAAAAACCCAACTCAAAACACTCTATGCATCCATTTTTTTAATCTCATGCAGAAAGCTTTGCATCTTCTTTTCTATCAATTTTGACTTGCTGACATTAGCAACAATAACTTCTTTATGGAGTTTCTAAAGACCACATAAAATCACATCTCATTCAGGACTTACTGTATGCTGGGTTTTACAGAGCTGACATTTGTATTTGTATTCAAAGGTGGAGAACTGGCAATATTTCCCTGTTTCACAGTCTTCGTCAATGATACACTCCTAAAGAAAAGGATAAAAGTGTAATTTGCCACGGTGTGACAGAAATCCATACCTCTTCTTGAAATACCAGAAGGTCTTGATTATATTTCTTATTTGGGAACCAAGAAAAAAAGCTTGCTTCGGTTCTTCATACAACCACAGTTCTGTAATAGAACAATGCTATCTCCCTGGCATACCTAAATATTGTAGCCTCAAAGTGTTTGGTTGTATAAATATTAATACCAGCAATCTCAAGAAAATAAATTATCTTGTTCTGCAGGCTTTTTGGGTTTGGTTGGGTTGGTTGGGGGTTTTTTGGGGGGGGACGGACACTGAAGGCATTTGTATTAAATCTATTCTACTTATATTAGAGTACAGTTATGATTCATTACTTGTTGGCTGTTTTTTCAGATGCGGGGCAAGACCGAAGGAAAGAGGCTACACTACAGCAGCTGCAGCAGCCGAGAGTATCTTTATGCTCTGTCAGAGACCATTCTGCAACAACTTTCTTGATCCCAGGCCAGGAGAGTTTATGCTGTCCTCCCTCCTCTTCCCCAGCAACATTAGTGCTGACCTCAGGAACTCTGCAGCATGGTTAGCTTCCCTAAACCAGCAAGGACAGCCCTAAGGGAGAAGGGAAATGTGTTTCCTTTTCCTTTTAACTGCTCCTCTGCTCCCCTTTGCAAGGGGCAGACAAATTCTTCTCAGGCAATCTTTGCAGTGCCTGAGCATTTTTGTCAGCAACCCCTGCCCTATGCTGAAAAATGCAGTGCTTTTTTTCACAGGACTGGTAATGTTAAATGTTCCTGGGACTTTATGGTAACAGCAGCACTACCTTACAGCCAGTACTTCTAGGAAGCAGTAGATATCATACACTACTTGATTTCCTTTTCTTAGTTGATGGCATGTCTCTCATGCACCTATCACCATAGCCCATCACCTGCAAGCTCACAGCTGCAAATGTCTAAATACCTACACATGTAAATTTTAAATCCTTACTTTAATTTAATTTGAATATTGCAAGATATGCAGGAGCAGATTCTCAGCTGACATCATTCCTCTGGCATCTCCTTGCTATCCATGGGAGTTAATTTACATTTAGTAACGTTCCAACCTGTCGAAGAACATGATTTCCACATCATATGCTTTCGAAATGCACGTAACAAACCCGTTTCCTTCCCTGTTGTTTGCTGCACATGAGTATTCAGCAGCCAGGTTTGAACATTAATTTAAGATTGACAAGTAGCAAAGAACCGCGTACATCCTATGGAAAAAAAAGCCCCACAGTTCCCTAATGCATCAGCCTTTGCTACCCGGCTAAGATGCTAGAGTAGTCCTCAAGCTAGCAACGTGCTTGAGCACGTTTAGCTTTTCAAACCTGGAATAATTTAATGGTATTAACAAAAATGTCCATGTGAGAGGGACACCTGAGTTCCCATCTGAATCACAAATTCAGACTAAAGTTTCTTCACCCAGAGGTCCCACAAGCACTCTGATAGAGATGGCTCACCTTTCATTCATGCTGCAAAGGATGAATGTACAAACAAGTCAGAAATTCTTCCTAGAACACAGCTCTGCAGGTATGGCAGAGAGGATAATACAGAGAGTAAGTGTAGATGTTTGTGTACCCCTGATTTATCTGGTTCACAGGCAGGGGGTGTTTTCCCAGCTAATGGTTACCTCTTAAAAATCATGTGATTAACCCTGTTCTCTGAAATGTGTTTTCTCCATGCTGGAAACAATCTAGCCAACAGAAGAATAAATCATAGCACTGTCCTGAGTCGCTTGTACTCCATCATTGGCTGCTCTTTGGCAGATATTATCTCACTTGCTGGAGCAGATCAGCTGTCATCTGTGCAACCTTTATTGAAAGTTTCCACTAAGCTTTTAATTTTCTATTTCTATTTTTTTAGATCATTTTTCCCCAGACTGCTGACGTCTTCCACACCATCCCAGTTGTTTTTTGTGTTTCAGATGGGCTGAAAAGTAGCTCCGCAAGAAGTTTAAGTGAAGCTCTTAATTACTATAATCACTGAAACAGGAAAAGATTACACTGTGAAACAGCTATACTGTCTTCAGATCTTCTCTAGATTAAACCTTATGGAAGCTTCTTGCCCTGTGTGAGACAAGGCTGCTCTGTGTGAAGAGCAATTCCTCATCCAAGTTACCCATTTTGGCCACCTGAGATGTTTTCAAACACTTTAATTACACAGAACTTAGAACAGAAGCCAAACACAGTCTAGGGCCCAATTCTTTTCATGTCAATGACATGATGTTCAGGTTATATGTTCATAATTAAGAAGCAGTCATTTCAGCTATTTTAAGACATTAGTATCACCAGGTGTAGGTGGCTATAAATTATCATAATATTTTTGCAGCTTGATTATTCCAGCACACTGTGTGTTCTGCTTGTTTGCTTTTGTGTTGCTACATAATCAGGTGGGTCAAAATCCAAATGTTACATAGTATGCTTGAGGTTTTGTGGTTCCAAGTTAGCAGTTAGCCACTTCTCTTCAGCACCCATGCTCTTTCTGGCCAATTTTCTGTCTGTAGCTTTGTCAGCTTCTTTTATGAATCCCTCTGTATAAACCATACTCAGAATAAACCATACTGTTTCATTCCTGTTCCATCCACTTTCAGGCAAACAGCCAGGTCTCAATGTAGTCAGTTTTTCCAGTCGTCCCTCTCCACAAAGGAGAAATCTTGCCATGATCGTTTTTAAGCTCATGGAATAACTCCCTCTCTAGCTCTAAAACCACCTAACACCAAAGTTGCAATTGTCCAGTCGCTGCTTTCTCCTGCACTAGTGAGTCCCCCATCAAAAAACTTCTTTTTCCTGTCTTACTGAATTGTGTCCCACCAGTTCAGACTTCCAGTTTTATGAGGGTTTTCAGCTGGGGAAAAAAAATCCCTTCACAGTTTTCTTTCCTGGCATAGAAAAAGCTTGCTTTCATATGCTCTCTGTGAAATTTTGTGCCACACTCCAATTTCCTTCACCCAGGTATTATAATCCATAGTCAATGCAGAACTCAGTAATGCTTACGCATGCAGATGTGTAACCGTTTCTCTTTTTTCCTCTCTTTTTTTTTTTTTAATTTATTTGATCAGGTTATAGACCTTTTCTAATCAGACTACCTTGAGACACAACAGTTGCTGGACAAGGAGCAAATGTAAACATCTTCATCAGCTGCAATAGATTCTGAACAATCCATTTTTTTCTGGAATTCTGCAAACTAAGTTATTTCTCATAATATTTTGTCTTTGCAGGAGCAACTGTGTAAACTGAGGAGAGGGGGTACTGGCTTCTGACATGCAGCAGAGCATACAAGTTGAGCAGATAGCTTAAAGACAGAATTAGCTACACTTATAATGGTGTACATCTCTCTGAAATCCATTACGTTCTTATACCAGTTAATTTAATGTAGCAGCAAAGCAATATGCTGTTTGAGAAGTGCTAAAGAATAATGCAGAGTGAAAGCAGGTTTGCCTATTTATTAATGGGTATACTAGGACCCATAAACAACAGAAGCCAGGATGGAGAAAAGCATGCTATGTACCTGTAAGAACATACTCAGCATCCTGTGGGCTCTTATTATAATATTGTACTCTGCAGTGAATAGCCTGCAACACCTGAAAGCAATTTGGGGGTTAGGATCTGTTCCAAAACCAATAGGGGGGAAAAAAAAAAACCCCAAAAGCCAACAAAACACTGAAACTCATAGAAAAGGTTCCCTGTATTATAATACTGCTAAAACAACTGCTGCTGAAAGAAACTTCAATTTTCTTGTCTTTGGCAGATTATGGCAAGCTATTGTTTGCTTTCCTAAAGAATAGTTAGTCTCCACACTTGAGAATAAAAAAGTGACTGATGTTAGTGATAGTGAAGTATGGTAGGACCATAACTACCAGAAAACTGAAACAGATGCCTGAGTGTGAGATGGTACAGGAGTGTACAGGTCCGAACTGGTATAACAAGTTTTGACAAGAGTACTTTCCTTTGGGCTGAATGTTTACATATACATGGAATGGCACAGGAGAAAAAAGTTTTCTTTCAATGTGATAAGACAAAATCTTCACACTCCAGCCAATAGCATGCCTTTGACCTAGAAGGTGCTATGGGCTATTTTGGCAGACTGTACTTGACCGGTGGAGTGTAGCCAACTGTGGTGTGGACCACATTATCCTCTGCCCATATAACACACTATGGATAAAAAGAGAGAAGCAAAGAATTTCTCAGTTCAAGTTATGAAAGCAGAACTACAAGGCCAGAGTTAATCTACTTTCACATAGAAACCCACTTTCGTTTACAGTGTTCATCTGGTTTCTGTACCTCACTATGGTAATATTTTTAATACTCTGTTTTGCTGGTGATACGGTATGTACTGAAATCACGTTCATTTTGCTTTGTTTTTTTTCCCCTTAATTCCTTATTAACACCCTAAGTGTAGACTAGAAAATATGCTCAAGTCTATTCTGATACTGTCTGACTTTCAAAATGGAATCATTGATTTTAAATTCAAAATGGACATTTGATTTGTCTATTCCCTCTCCTCACTCACACTCACCCTACCTCCCACATTCTCAAAAAGTCCTTCTTCAAAGATAACTTTAAAAAAAACTCTGTCACTATTCATATCTTCAGCCAATATTTGTCAGGGACAGGCAAATGACTGTCTGGAATGAGCTCCCCTTCTGGGCTCTTTATGCTTCAGTTTAGAACCCAAGAAAGCAGAGGAGGGTGCTGTTGATGACTTTATATACAACTTTTCAATGGTGATTAATACATCTATTAAAGCCAGACACTGAACACTAAGGTGGGATGGGGTATATGGAACAAAAAATGCCCTTGTGGGTAAGGGGCAGCTGTAGTGGAGAAACTCAGTACCAGTTCATCTGCCAAGGTCATTGTGAGCTCTGACATGAGAACAGTAAGTGGGATTCAAATAGGAGAACCACTTTTCCCCTCCTTGTGTAAGCTATATGGCCCAGTTTGCTGGCTTATTCTGATCCAGTGGCAGTTT